GGGGATATTTCGGTCATTAGAACAAAATTATACAGTACTAACGAAGTCTAAATGGACGGCGACGGTATATTACAGAGGATAAGCAAAATACGATAGCATATTGTATAACTTAACAAACTCAGTGCCATATTATAGAACAGGGACAAAGTCAGCGGCACACAGTGGATTCTCTTAAAAAATAATCTAGTCAAAAAAGTTTCTTTATTTTATTCAAAACAAAACATTTTTTCTACCAAACACGTTAGGAGAACTTCGAAAGAAGATAAGAAAAAAAAGGAGGTTTAGTCATTAGCTCAAACACACGTGGGGAAAAGCTACTCACATCCATGGTATGGTATATACTCACATTAATCGATAATATACTAATATTATTAAAATTATTCTTCGTCTTAATACGGTGTAAAACTAAAACTTTAACCTTATATTCTTCTGTTATTCCATCTTCTTCTCGCTTTCTCATTCTTATTTATTTTTGATAATAATATTGCTACAATCAACACTAGTACTTGCACATGAATACTAGCAGCTAACTCATATGTGTGTGCTCCGTAATATATATTATCTATGTTTTTACATGAGTAAACAACAATTATTATATTTCTTAATGATATTGTAATTATATAAGGTACCTAACTAGTTTTCTAAGAACTGGAAAGATATTTTTGTTAAACATAATCTAGAATGCTATAAAGATTAATAATATTGAACGATATATAACCATATAATTTTTTTATAAATGAATTAGAGATCGACTCTTGTTAAGAATCCAATGATCATAATGCACTATATATATTGTTTAAGTGAGTTATGATATTCTATTTAGGATGTGTTTGACAAATGGGTTATGAGAGGTGGGATTGAGAAAGGGAAATGGATGAATGATTAGGATTAAATGAGGTGTGATGAATGGATAGTTAGGATACAATACTACCCTTTGGAGGGTGGAATATTATTTCCCTATCCTATTTGCAAACAAAGCCTTACTAGTTACATGTGTATGCATTAAAGTGGGATCTAGAGATAAAAATCAGACACTGCTCGCCAAAGAAGCACGAATGCACGATATAAATAAACCCTCTAATCACCGGATCAACTAACACGAAAAATGATATATATAAATCCTCTAATCACCAGATCAACTAACACGAAAAAACACGGCCCTCACTGGCGTCGCCGCGAATTGGGGAGATGACGAAATGGTGTGAATGCGAAGTGGGGTGGTCGAAACCGGTCCGCCTTTATTTGGGTTCATGGAGAGAGACCCAAGCAAGCGGCGAGCTCCTCTCGTGCTTCCCGTGTGCTATCTGGCTGGCTGCACAGTGGTTCGTCCGAGCGGTGAGCCGGTGACGCGCTTCGGTGCTTGCTTCTGAGCTTTTGTGAATCGTGACTTTGTGGCTGATAGATAATGCCATAATGGCACGCCATGGTAGCTTTATTGCCATTGCTAACTTCTTGCTTTGGCTGCTATGTAGGCAAGGCGTAAACAATTTCTGTAATGAAGAATAGTCAAAATAATCAATTGTGATAAAATATCCCGATGTAATTTATTATATGAAACATTGTGAAACCCTAACGATTAAATTGCTATTATTATTTACATTCATTTTCGTGGTGATTTTTGGTGAGGGAGATTGAATGTGACTATGTTGACCATAGGGAGAGACGTAAGCAAGCTTAAAGCAACCAGGGCTTTTGCCTACATAATCACAATTAGGTCCTTTTAAATCACTATTGAAAGTTTTTTTTTGAAAAAAAAGAACTTAAAATCTAGTAGTTGAGCCCTATGTGAGTTCTAGGTTTTGGTAATTTCTGACTCCCTCTCTGAGCAGCAATAGGTTCTTAGTCCGATAACATGTTTTTTAGGGTTTGCATGGGTTAGTTAAAAATATATGTAGACTGATGGATATACTGCCAAGAAAGGGGAGACAATAAATGTACCTTTTTTTTATTGTTTTCACAAATGGCATTAGCTTTGTTGGATACTTTTATTCTCTCGCCGGCTCCCGCGTCATGTAATTGAGTGGTAGAATCCATCGTTGTAGTGGTAAGTAGTCAGGCATAATCTACTTTTGGCATGAAATGTGGTTGTGAGTATTTTACTTACTCCATTTCAAAATGACTAAAGTTTTAATATTAGGAGAAAAAGGGAAATAATCTAAATACCCCTCATTAAATGAGAGGTGGTTGGGGGTAAAGCATGAAGAAATTTAAACGAGGGTGGTTGGAGAGGAAGATATTACTTTCAAATTACACTTATTTAAGACAATTTCAATGATAAATTTCTAGGCCAGAATAATATAATAGCCATTAGGTTTTGTGAGGTGCTATGTGTTTCTTTTTCTAAGTGAAAATATAATATTGCATAAAAAGGTAGATCAAAGGGGAAAAAAGGCCAACGAACCAAACTAGCATGGCATCATTATAATCAACAAAGACACCCAAATTGCATACAAAAGTACCCATAATCATCAGCTGCTTCTTATGTTGACATCACAGAAAACAAAATGGATAGGATGTGCAGATGCAATGCACCACACTGGCCTACACCAAAAGTCTCTAGACATGCAAACACTGATCAATGGAGTAGTATCAACTTAGAGCAGGTATAATAGTAGGTGGTAAGACTTTAAATATTATATCTGTGCTGACATGGAAGGGAGAAAAGGTTAGGAAACGCAAAGGCGAGCGCTTCAGTTAGCGCTAGCTCTAGCACAGCCTCCAACGCAAAGTGGTGGGGCCCATAAGTGGGAGGGCATGGCCAGCCAATTGGATGGAGCTAAGCCGAGTGATACGTAAAGTTAGTTGAATAAAATATTAAAAGTAACTATGACTAGCTTAAGTAGTATTTCTTCTTTTTATTTACTTTTGCTGAGGTGGATTATTTTGCAGCGGCTGCGCTATTAACCTTGCTCTTATTAGTATGTCATAATGAATGGCCACATGGGTACATGGCACCAGTCACCCTCTTGTCAACAGTCCAAATGTCCAATCTCTCGAGTCTTGAGAACGACCTTTCACTCGGTTCGTCATTTTTTTTTCACTAACACCTTGCTCGTTGAAAAATATACCCTTATTAATTCCATTATTATTAGGGAGTACTGGAGAAATCTAAGAGATTGTTCAAATAAGCATAACATTAAACGCTATTCCTTCTCAAGGATACTATTAAATCCCCACTAATAAAAAGATATTTGGCCCCTTACTCAAATCCCATCTAAACAATCACTGAGGTGGCATTAATTAATGTGTAGGGTTAGATCAATGGCAAGATGAAGGGTGAGGATAGAGAAGCAGAGCAGGATTTTGGGTTCGGATTTACCCAACCCTCTTATCCGGTTCGATCATGTGTTTCTTATAAGTTATATGTAACATGTGTCCATAAACTAATATATATCACTCGAGTGATTTTTAAAGTAAAAAAGTCCATGAATATAATTATAACGCCTATATTTTTTTTACATGGTCTTCAATAACATAGTTTGACTAGTATTTTATTTCATTCTATAATCTCAACAAATATAAAATTAGCATCACATGAAAGTAATTCAAAATATGAATCTAGTAATATAACATGCATAATACTTAGTATAGATATAGTTAGGCCCTGTTTAAATCCCACCCCAAAATTTTTCACCATGTCACATCGAACGTTTGAACACCTGCATGAAGTATTAAATAACTGTCGACGTTGGATGTCGCGATTCCGGTATTTGCATAGTATGGGGATCGTTGGTACTAGGATATACGCGAGACTTAGGTAAAAGAGACGGAGGAGAGGATTTTTATACAGGTTCGGGCCCCTGAATTGTCAGGTAATAGCCCTACATCCTGTTGGCCGAAACCGGTCGTTGCTCTTATTCACCATAATCACACCAGTACAATATTTGGGGTAGCCTATCTATCTGTTGTCGACTTGGCGGTCTGAAGTGCTGACTCGTAGTCGACAACAGGGTAGTCTTCCTCCTCGAATCTGTGCCCGACGAGGTCAGAGATAGCGCTAGATTCCTCTCTTTGGTTCCCGTAGGTACCATATTGGGTTTTCCCAGGCTTATCTCTGATGTCGATATCTGGCAGTTTGTCTTGGCGTATGTAGGCTTGTATTGGCCTGTGGCTTTGTGGCGTCTATGTTGTCTGTGTCCCTCTCCTCCTAGGCGGTCTTGTATTTATACCCATAGGTGTCCCCTTGTCCAAGTAGAACTAGGAAAATCAGTATGGATACAATCCGAGTAGTCCTTGTCGTTTTCATATAGAACTCTAGTTATCTTTCCTTATCCGGAACTCCCCCTATATCCGAAGGTTGTTTCCGTATAAGACATGGTATGTGGTGGGTCCTGCCGAGATTTAGTCAACTACTATTAGGTATGTGGTATCCATAACCCTGACAATAACTAATTACACATATAGGCTAAAAAAATAACTAATTACACATATTGCGACTAATTTGCGAGACGAATTTTTTAAACCTAATTGATTCATGATTTGACAATGTAGTGCTATAGTAAACATTTGCTAATGACGGATTAATTAGGCGTAATAAATTCGTTTCGCAGTTTACATACGGATTCTGTAATTTGTTTCATTATTATACTACGTTTAATATTTCAAATGTGTGTCCGTATATTCAATGTGACACACCAAAATTTTACAGCCCTAAATCTAAATACCCTTTAGTATGATTATTACTCAAAAGCTACCAAGTTTATTTTTTAAAAAAAAACAGGGCGCCCTATAATTTTGGGCGGCGGGAGTAGTAAAAGCTATTTTTTTTTACACTCAAACCAGTCCGTGTATGTGCGCGTAGCTCGCCTGTCTCAACGTAATTAAGTGAACGATAAATCAAATAAGGCAAAATCTTCCAAGGTCAAAATGGAGGAACCCACTATCCCCAGATTACCACGGGCCAAAATTCGGCCCAACCTGTGATGAAGCGGCCCAGCCCAAGTCGGCTAAACCCCTCTCCTCTTCTCGTGCCCTGCCTGATTCCGCTGCCTCCACCGCTCCACGTATCCCCGAAAGATTCTCCTCCTCGTCCTCATCCATCCCCCACCGCCGCCGCGGATAAAAATCCAAGGAATCGAAGGCCCCAACGTGTAGTACTACGCCTACGCGCCCCCTCCCATGGCGCCGCCTCCGCCGCTCGCCGCGCTCCGCCCCGCGCCATTCCCTCTCCCTCGCCTCCTCCCCTGCCCCGCCTCCGCCGCCGCCCGCCGCGGCGCCGTCGCCTTCTCGCTGCAGACCAACGTGCGGCTCCTCAAGCCCAACCGCCGCTCCCGGCGATCCCGGTACCCCTACTACGACCACGACGAGGACGAGGACGACGATGAGGCGGAGTTCGAGTTTGAGGAAGGGGAGGAGGAGGAGGAAGACGGCTACGAGACCGATGTAAGTTCCCTCGTTTGGCAGTAGCCGCTTCTAGCTTTGCTACTGTCGTGAGAGGTTGCCTGAGTGGCTGGGTCCTTAGCTAAAATTGCTTGCGTACTCAAGCTCGTGCCATGGGATAAGTGCAAGGCTGTGCTATCACATGATATCATCATCCAATTGCTGCTCATTATGTAATTAGAGCTCCGGAAGGAATATCATTCAACTGCTGCTCATTATGTAACTAGAGCTCCGGTATTCCTTTTGTTTTGGAGTACATTAGAGATGTGATACCATTTTATTGCGTCAGGCTAGAGAGTTTCAGAAATTGAACTAACCAACATCTCATTAGGTTGTAGGATGTAATGTTGTATGCACATTGAGTTAAAGAGGCATAAGTTTGTCAAAGGAATCAACAAACATTGTAGGATGTAATGTTGTATGCACATTGAGTTAAAAGAGGCATAAGTTTGTGAAGAGCGCACTAGTGGTAAATCATCGTTCCTGTATTTAATGGTATAACACCTTAACCGCTCATATGATAAACTGTTTTAAAAGTTTTCTGCCTGGCTGCCACAGTTAAACAATTCTTATTTATATGGTTTATTTGTTCCATGCATATTTATGTGCTTAAATACTCAATGGTATGCTCTTAAACTTAGGCTAGCTGGGTAACAGTAGGTAGAGGTGGGCATTAGGGTGAGAGACTAATTTGATTTCTGCCTTGGGTAAACCATATCCAACATACGGGGACCAATAGAAACAGCGAAACTCGCTTTTCTGCTGATTAGTGAAGACTTAAAAGAGAGAGGGAGAGAGAATCAGTTATGTTTCTTCTGCCACCCTGACTATATGATCTGTTCTGCATTGAGTTTTCAATATATAGTATACTGCATCACTGGGTGTTTAGTCCACATGCCAAACCAGGCAGAATTGCAGATTATTGGATTCAAAAGGATAAAGTTTTGTGATGCTAACTTTCATTCATTTCTCATAGAATGAAATATGAGAAACTTACCATTGGCAATATTCTACATTTCCAGCATTCTAATATATTCTCTTACTCTTTTCAGGATGATCTATCAGGTTTGGAGTATCCTGGTGTACTTTATTCAAACAATCCTCGTGCTCCAATCAAGAAACCAGGTATGAAAGGCTGTGAAAATCCCTGATATCCAGTGGTTACTTTGTATTAATACTTTATTCTCCAGGCCGGGAAAAACCAGCGCTGAAACAAAACTGGGAAGGAAGACAACCTAAAACACGAGACAGATGTGACACTTCAAAAAAAGTCGATGCTCTGCATGCCAAGAGTAAAGCTAGCAGATCAACTGGTCTTGTGGACATAGATAATGAAGTAGAGGTAGACTACTAAGGTTGATTCAGTGTGTCCATGTTCTTGTTTATGTTCAATATTTAACGTATGCAGGATAAATGATTGATTTATTTTCGCAGTTGAAAAATGAAAGTATCTCTAGAAGCTTGTTTCAGAAACTTCAAGAAGAATATGACTTTGATGATAAATGGTTACCACTAATCGATTACTTGTGCACATTTGGACTGAAGGAATCTCATTTTACAAACATGTATGAGAGACACATGGCCTGCTTTCAAATCAGTCAAGCTTCTGCAGAAGAAAGGTTGGAGTTCCTGCTAAGTGTTGGTGTTAAAAGCAAGGATATGAAGAGGATGCTTGTTAGACAACCACAAATTTTGGAATACACTCTCAGCAACCTGAAGTCTCATGTTGCATTTCTGGTGGGCATAGGTGTTCCTAGTGCACGGATAGGTCAAATTATTTCTGCTGCTCCATCATTTTTCTCTTACAGTGTTGAGCAGTCTCTGAAGCCAACCATAAGGTATCTGATTGAGGAAGTGGGCATTGAGGAGAGTGATGTGGGCAAAGTAGTGCAACTAAGCCCACAGATTCTGGTCCAGCGAATCGATAGTGCATGGAAATCTCGATTTCTTTTTCTATCAAAAGAATTAGGGGCTCCAAAAGATAACATTGTTAAAATGGTCACAAAACACCCACAGCTGCTTCATTACAGTATTGAGGATGGAATATTGCCTCGAATCAATTTCCTTAGAAGCATTGGCATGAGAGATACTGATGTTCTCAAGGTATTGACGAGTCTGACTCAGGTATTACCACATTCAAGTTCCCTATCCTTTTCATTTTTGTTTTGTTTTTACAAGTATCTTCATTGTTCAATGTAGACAGATGCCATTATAATACCCTCTAATATTTGTTTCTTTTCAGGTGTTGTCTTTGTCCTTGGAGGAAAATCTCAAACCAAAGTATCTTTACTTGGTCAATGACCTTAAAAACGATGTTCAATCCTTGACAAAGTATCCTATGTACTTGAGCTTGTCCCTTGACCAGAGAATCCGTCCCCGTCACCGTTTTCTTGTTTCATTGAAGAAAGCTCCTAAGGGTCCATTCCCTCTTAGCTCCTTTGTGCCTACAGATGAGCGATTTTGCAAGAGGTGGGCTGGGACTAGCTTAGAAAAGTATCATACATTTCGTCAGAGCATGCTGCTCAAAGGTTTTTCAGAGAAGACTGGAAGGAAAACATTAACATCGAGGCGGTAGATACTTCATGATTGAGAAGTAGGTTGTTTTTGAACCTATGCCACGCTGTAAGATGATCATTTCACGCAGTACCTCAAATATTTTGAGTTTATTTTACAGAAGTTGCTTTTCATAGCAATGCTGATTGATTTACTGTTTGCAGGAAAAGGCCTGGGTTGCTGTGCTGGTATTCAATCATCAGCATTCGGCACACATATATCAATATCACAGATACATCACTAACTACAGTTTAGACTTCCTTTTTTTTTTACTCCTATTACAACAAGGTGTAAATTCTTCATCTGATTCCTCCAGTCGAAAAACAAATGGATGTTCCAGGAGTCAATCTAAGGATGAAAAGGGATGCACCAGAATGGTTGATGTGGCATTTTGTTGTCTACTGCCACGGTGACATCACCTTGACCATTAGCTAATGTTAAATATGTCTAGCACAACAAACTAACCATCTATTAGGGATGTATTAGGCAGCATCCTACGTTGCCGTAAGTCTGTAGCGTCGTTAAGCACGATATTTTATTTTCCACGGTTGTAAATGATAGAAATTCTATCACCAGTTCGATCTGTACTTTGTGCGCTTTTCTGGTTTGTTATGTTGGAAAATTATTCCTGTTGCTGTGGCTTCTATCTGTGTTGTGTTTGGTTTACTAGTCATATAGAAGAAATCATATTTTTCGTGTATAACGTTATGCTGCAACACAGCATTTACGATATAACTGATCTAGATAAGTCACTGGTGATTGAAAGGTAGAATTTAGCAAATACTCCCTCCGTTTTATAATGTAAGTCATTCTAACATTTTCTATATTCATATTAATATTAATGAATATAGATATATATATCTATCTAGATTCATTAACATCAATATGAATATGAGAAATGTTAGAATGATTTATATTGTGAAACGGAGGAAGTAACTTCTGATTCTGGAAAAGGAACGAACGTTGGGAAAAGCTATCTAAAGACTGATAAAGATATACTCCCTCATTCCTTAAATATTTGACGCCGTTGACTTTTTTAAACATGTTTAACCGTTCATTTTATTCAAAAATTTTTGTGAAATATGTAAAACTATATGTATAAATAAAAGTATATTTAACAATGAATCAAATGATAGAAAAAGAAATAATAATTACTTTTTTTTAACAAGACGAACGGTCAAACATGTTTTAAAAAGTCAACGGCGTCAAATATTTAGGTAAAAAAAGTCAACGGCGTCAAATATTTAGGGTCAACGGCGTCAAATATTTAGGTAAAAAAAGTCAACGGCGTCAAATATTTAGGGATGGAGGGAGTATGATTTTTCGAAAACATAGTGGCCAATTGTTTGCATTTTGAGCAACTGGAACTGGTGGTCAGGTGCTATTCCGGGGAGAAATCCCCAAAAGGGAAAAATCGACGCATCACAAGTAAAGAAAGCCTCAAATGTTGTCAACTTATCAGGAAAAAGCACGTATTACATGTCTAGGTAGTAAGCAACATGACAAAAAAATAGACTGGATCTCAGGGCTATGCTTATGTACGTCAAGCTGTTTCTGCTTTACTGCTAACTGCAAAATAACCCTTTCTATAACAACCTACTTGACCATGCTTACTTGTGAATCCTAAGTTCTGTATTATAAGTATAACCCAAAAACCATCCTACTACTACTATTAATAATAATCTGTGGAAACCTACTTGACCTCACTGCGTCTGTGTACCTATTTATAATCTATGGCAAGTAAATAATTAATAATAATAATAATAATTTGTGTACCAATGTATAATCTCTTGTCAGTGTGTTTGTAGTATTGGTGAAGAAATAATAGCGCTCAGTAGAGACCAAGGCTATCTGGAAGAATGATCTCATCACTGCAAAACAGTTCAGACGACTCGGATGTTATAACTAGAAATGCCAGATGAATTATCTTGGAAAACAAAAAAGAATTAAAGAGAACTGAAATAACATAAGTAGGAACAGTTACCTATCTTCATATGCTGAAGCTTCATCCAAATCATCCGACCTGTGTGATTTTTTTTTCATGTTGTTACCTGGAAGATTTACATGAGACAAAATCAGACATGACAAGGAAAACGACTGAATCGTAATCATTCCCTCAGAAGTGACACAGTACAAATCTAAGTGTAAGAATTTGCTAACCTATATAATGCTCATTAGTGACACCGAAACCTGATGTCCTGTGTTCACGATAGTCAAATTGCTTATTTTTCCGATAAATTTTTCTGTATCAGTAAATGGGAATAGAATGTTGGTTATTCCTCAAGTTGAAGATATAAAGAGCAAAAGAAAATTACACAAGGTATAACCAGCAAATATGAAATATTAGTTCACCATTTCTCTAAAAAGAATAGTTATAAAGAAACTACACCAATAAAGTCTTCACTGATAGACAAAATTCAGTCAACAATTATAACTGAGCAAGATAGGCTAATGATTTTACAAACGATGGTATGTGTAGAACAGTGATAAAAATGCAAATTGAACCCCTAATCTGATGTAGTGCTGTAAATATGAAGTATAAGCATGGAATCAATCTCTGCAAAAATGATATTCTAGATCTGTCCTGATTGTGAGATCAAATTAGCCCCACTGATTACTGTAATGTAACATGGGGCCTTGGTCTTTGCTACACTGTTCTTTGACTTCTTTCTTTTTTTTGGATGGTGCCTTTGCTATAGTGTGGCCAATGGTAACCTTCAAACAACTATCAACTTGACTTCCAGAAACACTCTTCAGCCATGTCATTCTTCAAATAAAATAAATATTATTGCATTTATGGAATTTTCATGTGTGTATGGATGAGGGGTATTGTTCTGTATGTTGTAAACCCGCATTACATAATCAGATCCTTAATAGTAAAAACTATAGGCTTAAATTGGGTAAACCATAAAGGGGAAGCAAATATCATTTTTCATCTTTAACGTCTTGGTCTGCCACGCATGAAAGCAAGGAATCATTTTAATGAAATCGATAGTGGTTTCCAATGCGTGGTAGTAATAATGTCAGAAACAGCAAGCGACATAAAACAGCCCTATTGAACAGTAGAGTGTTACCTTAGTTCAGACTTTTCCATGTAGCGCTTGACAAGAACTCGCAATCCACAGATGAAGTGAGCTGTCCCCTTTGATAAGATAAGCCTCACTGTCTCAGTGTATAGGAAGCTCACAAAACCAAACATCCGCTTCTCCTGATAGGGAATTCGCACACCGGAGACAGGCCCAAATTGCCTGGCATTATCAAGACAATATTGTCATCACAGTAACATAATAACATGACAAATTGACAATTCACACCTAGTAACAATAAAGTTAAGGCAATACTTGAAGTAATTCTCGACATCATCATCAGTGAATTTGCTGTGAACAGGGAAGGTCATATAAATCTGGTTAGACCCAGTGCCAGTATCCATCAAGTTGCAACTGTGAGCCAAGCCCAAGCAATCCATGTACTTCTTCCGAGCATCTTCCACCAGGACTACATGATACTGTCCATGTTCTCTGAAGTTGAAAACGGAAAGAGCCATGATCAGGATGTGAAGAAAAAAGAAAAATAATCAATCATGATAGAGCCATATCAGAAATTCATAGAAGAAAACCTCTCGACCACTCTGATGGTGTTAAGCCCCATGAGCAGACTTGTAAGACTGCAACCAGTCCTTCCATGCTGCTGGCTCTCAGTGAGCCATCCATCAGGCCGCAGGGGCTTACCGTACTTCTCAAAGTACATCGACGGCAAACGATCGACTGCGACTGGTGGTGGTATTCCGATCAGGAGTTCTCTGATCTCCATATCCAGCTTGCTCAGCGACGCAAAGGGGTGAACTTGCCTGGGATTATGCAGCTCAGGGACGGACCCATGGAAGAACTGACAGTTGACACCTTTCTTGCAGTAACCCCTGAAGAAATGGAAATGGCAAGGCTTGGAACTCGACTTCGAGCTACTATGAGGATGTCCGACGAGATTTCGACCAGCATTTGGAGAATTCCTTGGCATGCTCAAAGACTGCAACTCTTCCTTTAAGCAGATGGATTCAGGAAATGAGCTCTGCAATGCTCCAGTTTGATCAATTAATGGGCGACGTTGAGCTTGGATTCCACGATAATTGCCGCTTGATTGACGCTGAGCCCTCAAGTAAGCCAGTGGGAGTTCTTGCCCCGGTGGAGGAGGCAGCAGTGAGGGTAAGGAACGTAGATGCTCGTCAGGACTAGCTGCATACTGTCTGATCTGCGGGTATGAACTTGTTGAGAGGATGTAACCACCGTTTGCACGCGATGGCTCGAATTCCCGAGCTCTATTCAGCAGCACTGAACATTTGTTCATAGCCATTTCTTGATTCCTGCAACAGAAACGAAATGATGGGATTTTCATTCTATAAAAAAAAGTTCCACCTAGAAAAAGTAGGAGATTGTTTTCTGATAATTTCACTGCAATGCAAAACAAGAGTGAGATTGTTTTATGATTAATTAAAAGGTTAAGATGCAAATACTGTGACAATATAGAACTTTAGTCCAAGCAAAAACGAAAAATTGCACATTCCACTGTTTCCACCACAAACAACACCGAGTTCGTGTTCTCCCAGTTGCTGCTTCCAAAAATCAAACGACAAAAATGCAGAAACAATTCTGGATAACAAATTACAACTCTACCTTAACTAAACCACCAAACCTCTTCAGAATACGAGAAGAACCCATGATTAACAAATGCTGTACCAAAAAACCCATCCCTATAATATAACAAAACCGAACGAATCCAAGATCAAGAAATGCCGTACCAAAAAACCCATCCCTATAATATAACCAAAACCGACCGAAGACCACGATCCTTCGCATGAACACGCCAAAAAGAAAAGGCGAAATTTCAATAAATTTAACATATATGCAACCAAGAATCGTTCTGGGCTTCTGGCCAAGAACCTGTCCCCCAGAATTCAACCAAAACCACTCAGATTGCACCAGATACCCCCCACAAACCCTCCCAAGAACCCACCTTGTCTCGCAGTTCTCCTAATGCGCGGATCCCTTCTTGGTCCAGGAAGAAAGAACGCCACCATGTGAAACCCCCAAGCGGGCGCGATTGCGCGAATGCCGTACGTCGCCGCGTGTGCAGGCCGCGGGGCTTGCCGCGTAGGTGGGATTTAGCAGATGGGAATCGGTCCAGAGGTTGGAAAGATTGTAGCTTTCGCCAGTTGGTGTTCCCTAAATCTTGGGACTGAGGGTTTATAGTGCCATTTTCGCCGGAAGGGAGAGCGGTTTGCGGAACCGACTGACGACGAGAGAGGAGGCCCTGCGCCGACCTGCGGTTGTTCTTCGTGTGCCAAGTGCGAACACAAACGTGTCCCTTTTTTTTTTTTGAAATTATAAAAACTACCTGGTGGGCCGTGTATTTACGTGGCCATAGCTCCCGTACAAAATTATTTAAGCTTTTTTCACGTGATTTTCTCAAAATTTGTTAAATAGTCATCTCGTTGTCTTAGCATATTAAAAGAAATTGAATATTTGTTTTTCAGTTTTATAGCTCTTCAAAGTTACACCAGCCATCACCTGTTACTTTTATTCTGCCTCTATTTACTTGTCCGACATGTCACGACTTATTTCATCCTTAAGACATTTAAAAATCATATCTTATAATTTTTAGAGTTCATTGTCTCGTTAATTTTTCTTTTTATTGTTTTTAGAAGTCTTGTCAAATGTTGTTACTGTACTTTTTTATAGCCAGCCCGCTCTTACTCTTTATTGTTATTGGAATTTAAAACTGAACCTAGTTATTTTTACTTTTTATAAGTCCCGTCAATCGCCATAACCTTAGTGCTTCACGGCCTGTCCGTTGCCTTTCTCTTAATCGTCATTGGATTCTAAAAATCAAACCTGCTCATCATTGAAGGATTTTATTTATAGTTTTTAGATTTTTCATCAACCGCCACGACACTAACCATGTATAGCTTATCCGCTACCCCATTCTTTTTTGGCATTTGCCACTGTTGTGTTCTAGATGTATTGTTTTTTATATTCCTTTTTTATTATTTCTATATTGTATTTCTACTTGATAACTCATTTTTATCTATTTTTAGAATTTATTTTTATTTATAACTTTAATTAATATCGTGTTGCGTTCTACGCGGACTATTTTTTAATATTCCTTATTTCCATTCTGAATTTTAGTTTTTTCTAAATTATATTCCTACTTAAACACTCAATTTTATCTTATTTTTATTTCTGAATTTATTTTATTATATATTTCGAATTTTAATTAATCCCATGTAATATTCTAGATGATATATCCTTTCAATATTTCTTTCATTTCAAAATTTAGTATCTCTAAATGAGGTAGCTTTTGTAAATTTTTTTCTTTTTTTTTTCCGTTAGTGGCATGCCACTGGCAAAGAGACGGTATCCGTAAATGGTTTAACTTAGGCTGTGTTTAGTTCACACGGTGTGTTAGAAGTTTGGTTGATATTGGAACGATGTGACGGAAAAGTTGAAAGTTTATGTGTGAAGGAAAGTTTTGATGTGATGGAAAAGTTGAAAGTTTGAAAAAAAACTTTGTAACTAAACACGGCCTTATTCTCTTCTTCCATATTTTCTCTCCTATTTGGATCAGAGGTGAAGGTGGTTCAATTTTCTCTCTTGATTTTTTTTTATTAAAGCGGTTCAACATTTTCTCCTATCCGGTATTTTTCTCTCATTTAACCTTTTTTCATATGCTATTTTAGATCGCGGATTTTTGAGCGGTTTCTCTCTTTTTTTTAATGGTTTTTCAGAATATTTTTATATGTGGGATAAGGTGGGAACCAGAAAGATGGCTATGGCTAGTACCGGATATGACACATCTTAGCATTACGAATCTAGATTCGTAGTACTAGAATATATCATATCTGATGCTAGATTCGTTTTTTATGGGACGGAGGGAGTAGTAGAGACTAGATTTGAATTGCTAAAACTTTCTATTTTTAGGATACTAATTTATACTCCCTCTATTTCAAAATGTACTTGTGCCCTTTTTAATAAGAGATTAAGGCTGGGTGTGTGGAAAATGACTGTGATGGGTTCAGATGAGAAAATATATGAGAAAGATTATGCTTGGTTGAGATGAGGAGATAGGTAGAGAAGTAGCTGTATTTTTTGAAAAATTTAAATAACACAAGTAGTTGTGTTTTGAGACAAATTTTAAATCCTAGATGTCGAAGTGTGAGCTCCTCTATCGGGGTACCGCGAGGCCCCCTCTTTGTTAGTTCGACCAGGGGCAGCGAGTGAGATTCGAGATTCCTGTGGTGGATGAGAGAAAGAGAGGGGGGCGGGGCCCTCGAAGACAGAGACAAAAGGGATTTATACAGGTTCGGGCCGCTGAGAAGCGTAACACCCTACTCATGTGCTTAGCTGACTATATGTGGAATACATATGCTTAAGCGCGTGAGCCCCCAAGCGCCAGTTAGACAAAGAGTTGATCCCCCCTCCCTAAGTAGGCTTGGACCTTCTTTTATATCTCAAGGAGTTACCACATGGGCCCGCCGAGCCTATTCAGGGAGGATAATCACATTAAATGTATTTCTTATTGCTTGTCTTGGAAGTCTGTTGCACACCTTGCTGCGACGTAGGGCCTGTCAAATCCATCCGGCTGACAGTGTCAACACGCATGTCATTCAGCATTTAAAGAGTGAGGACTTTTGGGTCCTCATTTGCACCGGGAAGTGGGAACCCTGCCCTAACCGGGTTAGGCAAACCGTCTCCGGCAGACGTGAGAGGCTGAGCTGCCCCTCACAATTGCGACATGACGGGGGGGGGGGGGTGTCAGGCGGCCGCCTGACATGCAACCAGAGCGCAGGCACACTACCCCAGCCATGTCAATCATCGGTCACAGATCGGTCACGGACCGGTCTGACGCACCACGCCACAATAAATGTTGCACGTGGAGCGCTCGCTCAGACCGCCTTAAACGCGGTTAGGTGGGCGCTAGGAACGCCCGTCTAGCACGGCACACGTGGCGCCACGTGGAGGGGGTCGAGGTGGCCCGACCCCCAAGCGAGGAGGGGGCAGCCGCCACTCCACCCCGGGCCTGACCCTCTTCGGGGAAGTGTCATGTGGGTCTAGGGGCAGTCTCCTCCTTTCAAACTCGGTACCCTAAGCTGGGAGGGGGCAGCCGTCGCTCCAGCCCAGGCCCGGCCCCCCTCAGGGGGGGCGCCACGTGGGTTCGGGGGCGGCCTCCTCCCTCTAAACATGATACCCCGGGCCCATATCACCAACCCTAGAGCATTGATTTCAATATGTGGGAATAACATTTTCAGCAAATCAGGTTCTTTATAGGAAAATCTAAGCAATTCAAAAAATTAATTGCTGAGATAATTGAAAGATATTTTTTCTCTTAATCTTAATTTTACTAAAGAACGTAAAAATATCTTAAACTTAATCTTAGTATTTGCAAATGTTTGCATAATGTGTCACAGTTCTTTCAGCCCGTGGGTTAGGAAGGCTGAGAGAAGATGCAACTATGCAAGTACATTACCGGAGTCCGGAGACAGGAAGGCCAATAGGCTGCGCCCTGCGCTGTGCGGAGATGGAGTCGAGTAGTCGACCGCACGACGCTGAAGATTTAGTACCATATGTTGACGTAATATACTCGTCCCGTTCCAAATTACTCAAAATTTATACAATATAAATGTTTATATAGATATTTCCTATCAATCACAAGTTATCCTTAATTTCTACTAAAACTTTATAAAATGCCTATATTTTGATGCGAATCGAGAAGAAGAAAAAATCCAGGGTCGATAGATGCAGCTATAACCAGTTATCGTTGCTTTTTCTATCTTTTGCCCTATAGCTAAAATTTAAATTTTAAATTTTACAACTAAATTTTAAAGTTGATTTAGTATATATTTTCTACCGTAGATCTTCTGCAATGGAGTATAACGTTACTCTTCCCAACAATGACATTTTCCCCTCAAATGAAAAAAAGAATCAGAATATGTTCCCTCTCGTTTATCTTCCAGCATACATTTCAGAACGACATCATCAGCTATGGCATGCTGCATCTGGACTCATTCTAGCATTTCAAGAACAAAACTCCACCGTGCAAATTCAGTCACTCCCCTCCTATAAAATACTCCTGTAAATTTAGATGCTTCACTGAAACACAAAATACATTCTTTTTGTGAAGGAACTGGTCTAAACACTTCTTTTTTTCGAGGGAACGGGCAGCCTGCCATTTCATTAATAGAAGGATAGATAGGTCTAAACACTTCTCCAATTATAATAACAATTATATACAATGTTAATAAGATGCAACCGGTTTAACCCACATATCTGAGCAAATCTACACTCGATAGGCATTCAACCACCTTGTCAAAAAATAGGTAATCAGCCCCCCAAAGAATGTACACTCAAGAATGAAACTGTCACAAGATTAACACAGTTTCATTCTTGTCACAGAAAGATTAACATGTATTGTATGGCTACACTCTTAAGTGCACTAAGCTGTTTCAGCATTAACATCAACTGCTACTTAACCATGTTTACGTGTAGTAGTATATCCTAACGACTTCAGTGTGACGCCAAAATCAATCAACTAAGAAACATTCCTCCGGGCCACTGTACACAAACTTTCCCTTTTGTTTGACTGGCTTAGGTGGCTTGGAACTAGCAAAGTCATACAAGTGCTGCTTCACCTTCACTGTTCCTCACTAAATAGGTCATCTGGAAGACAGCGCTCCCTGCAAAGCAGTTGGCATATGTCGGATGTTACAACCAGATTAATTAGTTGGGGGCGAAACACAATACAGTATATGAGTAAGATATGAAATACAATGGCTGTTGCTATTGTACATTCAAAAGCACAAAGCATCTGAAGTGCGTTGCCAACATATTTTGACCTCTCGCGAGAACAATAAGATGGGAGTGTTCATTTGCATTGACTAAAAAAGTTTGAGTAAAGTTCACAGCCGGTCTTTAAAGTTGTAGCGAGGTGTCACTTAGGTCAATGATCTAGGAAAATCGTCAATACGGTCCGCGATCTTGTTTAAGTGAATCATTTAGGTCCAAAGCACCTCTGATCGGGTTGACTGGCTTACGTGGCCGTCCACGGTGGCAGCATTTTTGCATTTTAGCCCCCCCCCCCCCCCCCCCGGCATCTTGCCTCCCCCATGTCCGATCCAGGCAGTCTCCCCCAAATCCTCCTCCTTCTACACGCGATTTCTAGGGTTAGTGATTGCAGCGGCAATAGGGGCGGCGGCCGTGAGGACGAGACCCACGACGAGGAGGGTGGCGCGCACAGAGGCAACGGCATGGGAGGCGGCCTCGGGTTCGTGAAGTGCGCTGGTAGGGGAGGCCATGGGTACTCGAAGTAGTGGGTCTTCTTCAAGTGCCCAGAGGAGAAGGTCCGACCTTCCCCTGATAAAGTGCCCTTGCTGCTGCGTGAAGAACATCGTGGAGCTCACTGCAACGACAGATGCTAATCGCGGGCGCATTTTTTTCACATGTCCTGACCACGAGGTAATGGTCCGATTGATTTGGTTTTGGGTTTTTTGAGTTCCTTTATTTTCATGAACATGACAGTGCTTGCAATTGATGAATGTGTGTAGAAGGATGGTTCTGGATGCAATTTCTGGTACAGGAAAGAAGGGTATGTGAAGTATCTTGAGAGGAAAGGCTACATTGCTGACAAGGAGCTAAGAGATGTGAAGCACATGTCAGAGAGGAAGAAGGCTGTGAACAATGAAGATGGTGGGGAAGATGAAGTGAAGAAGCTAATGTTATCTCTAGTTTCCATTGGGTTGGAGATAGTTCAGATCTTGAAGGGCATGCTAGTTGGTTTTATTTTACTTGTTGTTGCTTTAGTGTGTTTGGTGCTTGCTGTATGGCTGAAATAAGATGATGATTATGGGTGGATTATGTAGTAGTTGTCAGTTGAGGATTATGCAGTTTTAACATGTAATGGCAATGGCCATAATTCACTCTAGAATCAATGGCCATAAGTGTATGCAGTTTATATATGCAAACTGGATTGACTGGTTGTAGTGGTGTTGTCTGAATGTAGGTGGCAAAACAAATGCAGTTTTAAGATGTAATGGCAATGGGCTTAATTTACTCTGGAATCAATGCAAATTGGGTACTATAATGTTGGCTTGTATGATTGCATTTCAACTCATGAATTCAGTAGCAAATAAAAATTGGCAATGATCCATACAAGAATGAATAAAATCACAGGTCTGCAAGTTGAAAATCACAATTTCAGTTGGAGAAACCATAGATTTGAACCCATTAAGTTTGCATTGGCATAACTTGTTTGCATCCAAGCAAGTTCAAGCAACAAAATACAATCCCAGTTAAAAATTTTCAAATGGTTACCTTTTGTTTGTCTGTCATAATGGTCCATGGAGAGGTGTTCACTATCCCAAGTTCAGTCTTCAAGGTATCAAGAAACCATGTCCATGTGCTGAAAGACTCAACTTCTACCACAGCCATTGCAATGGGGTATATGCAGTCATTGGGATCAATTCCAACTGCTGTCAACAATTGACCTCCAAATTTGGTCTTGATGTGGCAACCATCCAGACAAATGATTGGCCTGCAACCACTGAGGAATCCTCTCTTGCATACATCTAGTGAGAAGTACAAGCTACTAAATTTGCCCTCATCTAACCTAAGATAGAAAGAACTCCCAGGATTGGACCTCCTTAGTTCATTGCCATAATCCCACAACAAGTTGTATTGGGCTATTTCATCACCATATATCTCTTTTAGGGCCAGCCTCCTAGCTCTTGCAAGCTTGCTTCTTGAAGGAGTCAAGTTCCACTCTTTTTGTACTGTCTTTGCAAAGCTAGGAATGGTCATCTTCCCATCAGCCCTAAATGACTCAGTGTACTTTTCAGCTAACCATTTTGCAGTACACCTTTTTAGAATCCACTCCTTCTTGCATTTGTGATGGGGCTCATATGTCTTAACAATGAAGGCCTTTGCCCTGCTGTCCATTGAAGCATAAAAGTTCCAGGGGCATCCTTCTGCACAATGTGCCTTGATCCTAGTTCTATCATTCCTGGGCATCTTTATGTCCACCCTGTTCTTCATGCTATATTCAGAGATAGCCTTTCTAACTAATTCAACTGAAGAGAATACCATGCCTACTTTGAAGATTGGGTTGTTAATGTCTTCAGGATTAAAAGACTTAAACTTCAAGTTGAACTCATCATCATCATCATCACTTGGCAAGTGCAGTTGTTCATCATCACTTGTGTCACCTTCTGACAAATCTGCCACAACTTTCTTGCCCTTCAACACACTACCTGCAGCCTTCTTATGGTTGAATTTCTTCCTATCCCCCTCTTCCACATCACCATCCACATTTTCCTCAAAGAGGTCATCATCATCATCCTCCCACTCATAATCACTATCAACAAAATCAGAATCAGACTCACTGTCATCTGAGTTTATATGAAAGCTCAACTATTTCTTCACCAACATCCAATTCTTCATGCACTACATGTCCATCAGGTGCATTCCTAGGGTTTCTATCCTCGCTTTCTGCCTCCTCTGTCTGCTGGCACTGTCTACTAGGGTTGAACACCTCTGGCAACTCAGCTTCTGGGCTCAGAACAATGTCATCTATATTTCTTCCTGAGACATGATTAGTATGATCAAAATAGATGACAAAATTCTTGATTTTATTTGACACTGATTTCATGACATTGATCTCAACTTCACTGTCTATGATCCTCAATCCATCAGACATGTTCTTTCCAGGCAATAACCAATAAGTTTTCAACTTTCCATCAGAGTCATATCCAAGCATGGCAACAAAGTCTGCTAAATGTAGACATCTACCCCAATCTCGAGAATCAATATTGTCAAACCAGTCTACTTTGCCATCCATATATGTGCGGTTCACTCCCATACCACAGAAAAACCCCCCATGATGAAACTCAATTGAAAAGTACTTTGATCCAGGACCTATATAGTGCACACATTCGGGATGAGACAACATACTAAACCCTACATTACATCACAATAGCTAAAAAAACACACATTTACCAACACAAAATCAACTAATTGCATTCTAGATGAAACCCTAGAAAAAATTGCCACCGACCAAAAGTCCCAAATTTCTTGAAGAAACAAACTTCCAAACCTCTCAATCACAGATTAAACTTACCAAATGAAAGGGATTAAAAGATGACGACGACACTCACTATAAACAGGCGCAGGTGCGCCTTCATCTCGCAAGGTCAGGTCCATCTCGCGCCTCCGACGCCTCCGATGACGGCGCCCAATCGGTTGGCGGCCAAACGCGCCACCCAGAACGCGTCTCCGGCCACCCTGACCCCGATCGCCGACTCCGCCCTAATCGCCGCCCCTCCTCGGAGTGCTCCTAGCTCGGCCAGAACGAGAGAATGGGGGTCAATTTTGGTCGCGTGTAGAAGGAGGAGGATTTGGGGGAGACTGCCTGGATCGGAAATAGGGGAGGCAAGATGCGGCGGGGCTAAAATGCAAAAATGCTGCCACCGTGGACGGCCACGTAAGCCAGTCAACCCGGTCAGAGGCGCTTTGGACCTAAATGATTCACTTAAACAAGATCGCGGACCGTATTGACAATTTTCCTAGATCATAGACCTAAGTGACACCTCGCTACAACTTTAAGGACCGGCTGTGAACTTTACTCAAAAAAGTTTCTATGCTGCATAAAGAATGAAAAATGCCACTTCAACGTTACAGATGTACAACTGTGCAGCAGCATCAGAAGTGCTCCAATTTTCCAACATATCTTGATCTTTCTCATGAATAAATTATGAAAAGTATTAACTCTTAATTTCATTAATTTGTTTCCGTGTTGCTTAAAGAATAATGTTCTCAGAAGCAATAATGCATCGTACAGGTTGAAATAAGACTGTTTAATCTGCAAATAGAAACAGGAGTACTCATTACTCACATAGCTGAGAATTCTGAAGATTCATCCACATTAGACTCTTTTGTCGCATGATCATCTAAAACATCACAGAATCAAGTAAGGGCCTGTTTGGCACAGCTCCAACTCCTAAATATAACTCCAGAAGTTGAGTCTGGAGTGGAGTTGTGGAGCTGCCTAAACCCAGCTCCACAACTCTATTACATTTTGTGAGAGAGCTCCACCCAACTCCACTCCTAGTTTTGGTGGAGCTAAAACTGTTTGGCTGAGCTCCAGCTCCAGGAGGGGTGGAGTTGGAGCTGGAGCTGTGCCAAACAGGCCCTAAGACTTACTAATATAAAAACTATAACAGTTTAATGAAAAACAAGGATGAATATGGAGTAGGGAAATTCCACATGAATACCTTCTGGAGATTCTGTTTTCTTCTCAGAGAGGTTATGTGTTAGAGGTGAATCAAAATCTCCAAATTGATGTGTCAGTGTCTCCTGGGAAAGTTCAATGAAATTCGGCATTTTTTGTCCTATCAGAAATGACAAAAGAAATGGCTTAATAAGTCAAAATATAGAATCACAACCATAAGTCTAGAACTAAATCAGAAGTGGCACAGCACAAAGCCAAGGAAGGGCATTTACAGATTTACTCACCAGAGTGACCCTCAATGGCATTGTCACATGATGTCCTGTGTGCAACATTGTCAAAACGGTCGTTTCTCTGAGGAAGCTGCCTGTATCGGTAAACATGTTATTATGTTTGAACATGTAAATACAGAGAGAATAAACAATTGCACAATGTATAAGCATAAAATATTAGTTCAACAAAAGCAAACTAATTTCCAACCATTAAATCAGTAAATAACTGTCTCGTGGAACTTAAATGTGCAGCAAAAACAAACTATTTCCATGTATTAAACGGCTACCTTGCAGGGACTTGTTTAAGATGTACGTATAAATTATAATTACTGAAAAATTCAATCTGCAACTTAAGTACAGACAGAAAAGCTAGTTATTATTTTTTCACAAAGACGGTACATGTGGAACAGAATGGACAAATTGACCATACACTTAAAATAATTAACCAAATGAGTAATATGTCAGTATGATTTATGAAGCACGCATGAGTGCATGATAACAAAAAAGCGTGAAACTGATGTCCCATAGACCAATAATTATTTCTAAAATCAAATTAGTCCCCACTAACCACTGCCATGAAAAAGAAGTCCCTGGTCAAGATCATATTTCAACTAACAACCACATTTCAAGAACTCTCAAATTGACTTCCAGAATTAATCTTCAGCTAATAACTAGTTTTAAAATCCTCAAGAAAGCACTTATGGAAGATTTCGTGCAAGTCCTTAGATGAGAGAGATTTGATCTTTTGCAAGCTATATATATGAAGATCAGAAAAGGGAGAGGACACTGTGGCAAGACTGCCATTTGGACCTCAGAACAAACAAGAACACATCAAACTCTAATCCTGTAATTAGCAGAATACCGTGACATAACCCCTCTGAAAAAGAGGTGCACCCAGCTGCTTGCCAGGACAGAGAAGGATTGATTTGGGAATGGTTAAAATGTACTTACTATAGATTTGAGTCTAACCCCTTTATCCAAACAGGTTCTTAACAGTATAGTTTGTAAATCACGAATCAGATATTGTTTGAACAAAAACAACAGCAGGTTTAAAATGCTGGTTAATTAAAGACAATCTGAGAAGCAATCAACAAAAGAAACAGTGAAGTTAGATAAAGTACCTTTGCTCTTGTTTGGTCCTATCCAGGTAAGGCTTTGACTCTAACTTCTACTCCACTGATGGAATGCGATGTGCTCTTTGATAAGAGAAGCCCCACTGTGTCATCATTTTCGAATGTCACAAAACCGAAAGTGTGCTTCTCATTGTCTGGCTTAAAGGGGATGTAGACATTGATCACAGGTCCGAACTTCCTAGAAGAAATACCATCATAATATTATTGAATTGAACATAGTGGTATAATTTGAAACTTCAAATCATATTGCACCTAGTCTTGTCCTCAAAACAAAGTAAACATAGTACTAAGTTTAGAAGAAAATACTTGAAGTAGTCCCGAATATTTTTCCAAGTCAATATGTTCTTAGCGATGGTAATATAAATCGTAAACTCGGTACTTTGACCGAAGAAATCCCTCTGTGAGCCATGAGGATGGGATTGCCTCTGATTGTGACCAAAGAAATCCCTCTGTGAGCCACGAGGATGAGATAGCCTCTGATTGTGCAACTCAGGGACACCAGACCCGAGAACTTGTGCATTTAGGTAATCCCTTGGCATGCCATCGAAGGCATTGGCACATGATGTCCTGTGTGCAACATTGTCAAAATGGTCGTTTTCTTGAGGAAGCTTCCTGTATCAGTAAGCATGTTAGGTTTGAATGTGTAAATAAGAGAGCAAAAACGATTGAACAAGCTAAAAATATTAGTTCAATAAAAGCAAACTAATTTCCAACCATTAAATCAGTAAATAAATGTCTCGTGGAACTTAAATGTACAGTGAAAACAAACTATTTCCATGTGCCCAAAAATTAAACGGATACCTTGCAGGTACTTGTTTAAGATGTACGTAATTATATAATTACTGAAAAATTCAATCTGCAACTTAAGTACAGCCAGAAAAGCTAGTTATTATTTTTTCACAAAGACGGTACATGTGGAACAAAATGGACGATTTGACTACACATTTAAAATAAGTAACCAAATGAATAAACTGTCAATATGATTTATGAAGCACACCTGCACATGCATGAGTGCATGATAACATAAAAGCATGAACTCTGTCCTATAGACTGAATGAATATTAAAATCAAATTAGTCCCCACCAACCATTGCCATGCAAAAGGAGGCCCCGATAATAGATCATACTTTTATTAACAACCATATTTCAGGAACTCTCAAATTGACCTCCAGAAAGAATCTTCAACTAATAACTAATTTTAGAATCCTAAAGAATGCACTTATGGAAGATTTTGTGCAAGTCCTTGGATGAGAGGGATTGATCTTTTGCCGGCCAAATAAATGAAGATCAGAAAAGGGAGAGTACATTGTGGAAAGACTGCCATTTGGACCTCAGAACAAACAGAACACATCAAACTCAAAGCCTGCAATTAGCAGCAGGATACTGTGACGTAAGTTACATAACCCCACTGAAAAAGAGGCACACCAAGCTGCTTGCCAGGACATAGGGATCGATTTGGGAATTGTTAACATGTACTCCTCCTAACAGGCGCTCAACAGTATAGTTTGTAAACCATAACTCAGATATCGTTTGGATGAAAACAACAGTAGGTTTACATTGTAGGTTAATTAAAAAAACTGCGAGAAGCAATCAACAAAAGAAACAGCAAAGTTAGATAACAGACCTTTGCTCTTGTTTGGTCCATTCCAGGTAACGCTTGACTCTAACTTTTACTCCAAAGATGAAATGAGGTGTGCTCTTTGATAAGAGAAGGCTCACCGTATCAGCATTTTCAAATGTCACAAAACCGAAAGTGTACTTTTCATTCCCTGGCTTACAGCTAAGGTAGACATTGATCACAGGCCCGAACTTCCTGGAAGAAATACCATCGTAAAATTATTGAATTGAATGTAGTGGTATAATTTGAAACTTTAAATCATATTACACCTAGTATTGTCCTCCAAACTAGTAAACATAATACAAAGGTTAGAAGAAAATACTTGAAGTAGTCCCAAATATTTTCCTTAGTTAATCTGCCGCCATCAAAGTTGATGGTAATATAAATCGTAAAATCGGAACCTTCACCAAAGAAATCCCTATGTCGGCCACGAGGATGAGATTGCCTCTGATTGTGCATCTCATGGACATCAGACCCGAGAACATTAACTTGTGCATTTAGATAATCCCTTGGCAAGCCATCACCTGGAATGTTCAAAGACTGCAAATGCGCAGAAAATGGGATGTCAAAACCTCCACTTTGACCAACGGGGAGGCATGGAAACTTAACTCCATGATAACAACTACCTACCTGAAACTGAGGCTCCAAATAGAGCGATGGGGATTCATAATCATACCGCGTTGAAGGTGACTGCAGTAAGGGTAGCTGCTGGAGGTGTTGTATTGGGGGGAACCTCATGTAGTATGACTTCGCCTCATTAATCAAGGCTTGTATTGCCTCATCCCGGGCTGAAAATGCATACCAACTGATCCAACTTGGCTTTGATATGTTGGCGTACTGAACAATAGCATTTGCACATGATGGCTCCAACTGATCCAACTTGGCTTGTGCCGCAAAACCAGTTGACATTGGAGCATATGCCCCCCGTTCCTGCAACACAAGGGACAAAATATAAAAACCCACTGCAAGCCAATATTTCTGATTGGAAAAATCAGCAGTTATTTCTAAAAGATTACAAGGATAACAATTAAACCAAAATTTGGCAGTAGAGAAAATTAGTGCAAGCAAAACCGGAAACCTTGCATCTATCTCTGTTTGCACCCACAAAAGAGGAAACATTTGCACCAACTCGTGTTTTTCCACATTGACCCAAAATTATGTTTTCCTGGTTCCAAATCTGAAGAACAAAGTGCAAAGTTATCTGTTGGATGCAAAACAGAAACTCTATACCCACCAACCCAGCCAAAATATCCATAGTAAGAGAACGAACCCAATGAGCAAGAACTGTTCTTTCCAATAACCCTTCTCAGAATCCAACCAAAACTAGCCGAACGCTACTCCTCCTGTAATCCATAGACCTGCCTCCACAAGAACACACCAAAAGAAGAAAAGAGAAGTTGTATATCTACAAACAAGAACTATTCCAGCCAAGAACATAATCTCGGAATTAAACCAATACCACTCAGATTGTACTAGATACTCCACGAACCCCTAGAAGAGCTCACCCCGCAAAGAATCACAAGAGTACAAAACATCGTTCTGGCCAAGAATCAGTATCCAGAGTGCAACTAAAACCGCCAAGATTGTACCTGATAATCCACGAACCCCTAGAACAGCTGAACCCGCAAAGAATCACAAGAGTAAAAGGCACCGTCCCGGCCAAGAATCAGTATCCAGAGTTCAACTAGAACCACCAAGATTGTACCAGATAATCCACGAACCGCTACATGAATTCACCCGCGTAAAGAAAAGACAAGAAGCGAAGGATCGTTCTAGCCAAGAACCCACCCGTCCCCGGAATTCAACCAAAACCGCTCTTGATTGTACCAGATGCTCCACAAAACACCTCAAGAACGCACAAGGATCAAGCAAACGACAGAAAAGAGCAAATGCAACGCCGCGCTAGCTCCCCAATTTACTAGTACATACATTGTCGTCCAGGAAGCGCACCACCCTGCGACACCGAGCGGCGAAGGGGGGGCAGGGGGGAGAAGGGAGACGAAGACGACGAAGCGGCCGCTGACGCTAATGCCGCGACGCCTCTCGCACCGGCTTGCTTGCTTGGTACCGAAATGGATTCCGCCGCGGATGGCAATTCGATCAAAAAGGCTGTGGATTTCGCTACTTGGTGTCCCTCTCCTAATTCTTGGGAGGAGGAGGAGGGTTTATATAGCGCCATGCGCGCGGGGGGGAGAAGGCGGTTCGCTAAACCGAGCTCAGCAACGGCGAGTCGATTCCCGTTTGGATGTCGGGAATCGAAATGCCACCCGGGAATGCCATACATTGGGAAAGAACTGGATTTTGAACCCAGTTGGGGAGGGATTAGCAGAGGAGAAAATTGGATAAATCGCAGCGACTGAAACCAGTCGGAGGTGGGATTAGAGGGGGAATTTGTATAAACCCCGGCGATTGAAACCCAATGGATGTGGGATTGGAGGGGGAAGAGTGTATTTATAAGCAGCGATTGAAACCCAGTGGAGGTGTGGTTTTAGGAGGGGGGAAATGGGATCGGAGAGAATGAGGATGAGAATACCCGTTGCGCCGGCGGCCGGAGCCAGGTGCCAAGCGGCGGCGGTCCCCGGCCGTCCGTCGGAGACCCGCCGCCGCTCATTGAGACCTAGCCGATCGCCGCCGCCCGCGCGCTTCGCCGACCTCGAACAAGAAAGAGATTTGGGAGCATGGTCGTTCGTTTGGAGAAGGAAGAGGTCGTGTTCAATATTGGGCTGAAAATATTGTTCCCCTCGGTTTGCACGGATTTGGGCCTCTAGTTCGGCCCATCAGATTGATTTGCTCTATCTTCACATTTAGAATTACACAAAAACAAAATCATCTGAAATAGTTCTCCGAAGACTTTTGGGAAAGGTGTCAAAAAAGAAAAAAATTTGCGAAAACATCAAATTTTGCTGGTTTATTTGGCAAAGAAAAATGCAGTACCTGGATTTTCCCTATATACGGATTAGGCATAAATCCATCGGCTTCGATGGGCCTGAGTATGCCTACAGGCCGAGGCGGGTCCAATCGAACGCTCTGCTTGTTGGGCTTTGGAAGCTTTTTGCCCACCCGTGTCCTGACTTGGGCCTCTGCTCGGGCCACCGTGTCATGGATCGCTAGCCTACCATTGGTAGATCAAGTCAACCGCTGTAAATAGGTCCAGATCGACAATAGTTATAAGGCCTGTTTGGTTGGGGGAGTTTTTAAGAGGGATTGGGAGTTTAGAGGGATGAGGCTATTAAGTGTTTTGTTTGGTTAGGAGACATGATAATTTTGGTGGGATGGGGATGGGGAATTGAGTAAGAAACTCCCTTCTTTTCAATACCTTGGTAGGGGCAGGTAATTGGGAAGTAATTTCTCCTTTAGTTTTTCTAAGCAAATCTCAGCCATCCATTTTTATTAATGACCTAATCTCCAACTAAACTTCCTATCAATTTCCATCACCTCTACCAAACAAGATATTAGGATTAAAAATCAAATTCCCATCTTAATCTCATCATCAATTTCCTCGTGTAAACTCTCAATCCCCTTCCCTCGAGTTACCAAACAAGCCGATAGTTTCGGGGGAAATTTGCGACGGTCCTCTCGTTCTTGTATTATCGTTCGTGTTTTTTTTTACAAGTACCTCGCAGACGAGTACTCCCTCCGTATTTTAATGTATGTCACCGTTGACTTTTCGACCAACGTTTGACCATTCGTTTTATTCAAAAATTTTGTGCAAATATGAAAATATTTATATCATGCTTAAAGAATATTTGATGATGAATTAAGTCACAATAAAATAAATAATAATTACATAAAAATTTTTTAATAAGACGAATGGTCAAACGTTGGGTAAAAAATAAACGGCATCCTACCTTAAAATATAGATATGGATGTAGTACGTGACAGCGTGAGCCAAACTTTGACGGTCCATTGTATTATCTGTGACGCCGTTTCCGGCGCCCCTGGACATGAACAGAACGACGCGCACCAAGCACGACCAGTCTCCCTACGACGGCGACGATACACGACTACACAAACCTACAAAAAGGGACAGACAGCCTCTGCCCGTGTGCTCGTGCGCGTCGCGTTAACCTTTTTTTCCGATCAAAGTTGCAGAGCAGCAGAGAAGCATATAGAACCCAGAACGCACACTCGTCCGCCCGCGGTCAGCAAGCGCCGCGCGGAAGTCGGAACACCCGCCTATTCCGCCGTTCGACGAGGCTGCGTCTGCGTGGAAGGAAGGAGATCTTGGACGCTGTTTCGCCACAAGTCACGAGATGCCGATGCAACCGCACACAGCCACACACGCACACGCACACGCACACGCACACCCCCTCCACAGGAGGCAGCCTATCGGTTTCGCCGCGGGCAACTGGGAAGGGGCACGCCGCACGCCAGGATCTTAGAACCTCTCCCAAAGGCAGCAACATAAAAATCTAAACCCGTCCCACACAACACGCTCCCACTCGCACGTCCCCGTCCGCAGCGGCGCCCGGCGTGGTCGGCATGCAGCGCCCGGCGCCGGACACGTGTGAACTGCGAACCACCCTGGGCGCCGCCGCCCGCAGCCCGCCGCGGCCGATTGCCCGACCGGCTGTGGAATCTCTCCAGGGGACAAGCCAACAACATGTACTGCCCAAGGCCCCGCCTCGCATCGCCCGATCGAAAGCGCGTCGACGCGATCCGATCCGATCACGCGAGGAACAAACAAAATCATCGCTTCGCTTGGTCTTTTAGCCGTCCGCTTCACGACCTGCGGGAAGCAGCAGCAGCAGAGCTACAGTAGTGGAGCGGCGTCGAATCGAATCATGCTGATTGCTGCGTGACTCGTATGGCACTCGCTTTTCGTCACGGCCACTTCGATATATTCTGCTGTTTAAGAAGAGGCTTTTGATATGATATTGCATCAGGCCGGGAAAGGTCGTGGTCCTCGTGGACACGGAGCCTAGTGAATTATATACAATGCAGGGCATGCAGCCGGGAGGAATAACGCAACACGCATGTTGACACGGAGAATCGAGATCGATCTTAGCTTCAATTTTTATTAGGTTAAAGTCAGTCAGACTCGAGGAAAAGCAAGGAGGGTAAGTGGTATTGCTGCGACTTTGCTCTGAAGCTAATATAAGCGACTGTATATATAGTAACTTATGTTTTGATGGCGAGGTCTGCATTTATTTAACCAAAGACTTGCAGTAGCAACTAGCAACTGCTCCACGACGTGTTCTATACTAATCTACCGAAGCTGTTCATTTGTACATTCATGTTGACCACAACATTGACCAAAGAAAGGTTGACCAGTATCAGCTCAACAACTCGGCAACTTTTCTCTCTGCCACACGGTTTTCAGCCCCCGTTTTTTGTCTGCTGCCTGACTGAGCTATGGGCATATGGCCATGTTATGTTATTTCTTTGAGTTTGAGACGACTACTCCTGTGCAGGAGTGGGCAAATCCACTGTCATATTATATCCAAATGTTTATGCGCTTCTACGCTACGTAAACAGATAGACGCATGACGATTTCGTGAGCGAACCTGGATACACTTTATAAAAGGAAGAGGGCCATGTTTTTCTTCGAATTGCGCATAAATTATCTCAGGATCAAATTATTTATTGACCAAATTGCGAAGTTGACAGTTACCATCATGCTCCAACCTACTCGCGAGTTAACTTGTCCAGGGCTTCTTCCAACCACGTGTACTGTTGGTCCACTGTCAATTAGTTTTTAGTTATGATGTACATTTAATTCAATCATGATAAATAAAACTGAATCATCACTGAGATTAAAGGTATATATAAATGGATTGAGTTTTGCTGATCAGGTTTGCAATCCGACGCATGAGATCAAAATTATGAGTTTAAATGATAACTTGATAAGTCACAAAGAATCCTATTAATCAGTGCGACACTTAAGTTGTAGTATGGGATGGCTAAGAGCTCAATCAACAGCTAATTAGGTAGTGCATCTAGGGTTTACATTTTCGATGGACTGCTGGACCTAACTCCTGGTAGTATACCATTTTCTCAACGAATTTCCATAAATTTTGATTACATTTTGCTTGAATTTACTGTTTCAAATTTGAATTTCTCAAAAACATTCAAAAGTTGCCTCAAAATATATTCTTTCCCGTGCCCAAACCTCAAATTTCGTGGTTTTTCATCAATGTCGAACCCTGTATGCATCCCTTCGGCTTTCAGCCCCACCCTCTAGGTGGCACTCATGACATTACAGCAGCATCTTTATCCTTACCGCTGACTCCTCCATTCACCCTAAGAACGATACTCTTAAGTCTTAACCAACCTACCAATGTGATGGCTTCTCAATCTGCACTAGTCCCTTTTCCCTTAAATTTCACCAAAAATGTCAATTATTATGTCCAAATTCAAAATCCACTTAAACATTTTGTTCAAAACGTGTTGGCAACTTTTTGTGACAAGTTGACAAGCACGATCATAGCACCTTATGCCTTGCAGTGATCCTAGAGTCGCCAACCACCTCAATCTAGCAAAGAGCTAAACTTAGATGGGTTTTGACGAATAAACCGGCTAGCGGAGCCGATTTTAGATAACTACCCGTCTCGTGGGCAAAACGGAAGGTTTTCAGGACAAACCTACAAAGAGATGTCGCACTCTCGCAGCGGCGGCGGACGGTTTACGGCGCAAACCGACAAAGATGGACAAACTAAGAGAAACTAAAAGCAATATGAAAAACGATTCAATTGATTGATTGTAGATTGGTTTTTTACAATAGAACCGGCCATGTCCCTTATATAGGGGTTGGTCTTGCCCTTTACAGGCCCTCCTCCACGTTCAACTCGGGATAAAAACCAAAGGAAACTCGAAACATACCTTCCCAAGCAAGGAAATCCCGAAACCCGATGAAACACAGTCGGACTCGGACACTGCCGGTCAGACCAGCCACACACCGCCGGTCTGACCGGCCTTCAACAGGAGGTCTGACCGCCCGACACACGGCGGTCAGACCGGCCCACTCGGAGAAAACCGGTATACTTCCAAATCTTGGCGATCTTTCCTATCTTAATTTTAGGTGCCAAATTTGGGTGTAAACACAAAACATTCGATAAAAACCAACAAACCTGAAATTCCCATGAGCCTCCAAGTTTTCTTCTAGTTAGAACCAGCTGGTAGGATGGTACCACTATGAGATCGGCCAAACATAAATATTATCCACAGCCATTGATGTTTACACTCCCCACTCCAGTGAATAGATCAGATATATATGCAATAAATCAACACTCTTTTATGCATCCGTCCGGCTTTTTGCTATGATGACGGAACAAGATACAAGGCTGCAGTGTCTCGTCAGGTTGTGGTCACAAAGATGCGGAATAGCCATGTCGTTCTCTGAACATAAGTGCACCGGTGTCCTATTACCGGGGTCATCATCTTAGTCATAAACCACACTAGCAGCATTTCCGCGCTCGGTGGGCCCACCATTCGACGCATGCATGGTGTGTTGTGAGCCAAAATATTAGCCAAAAGGCACTGGCCGGAATGTGGATGACATTCCAGGGACAGATAAGAAAATCAATAGACCATGCCACTAGAGAGAAGAAATGAGTAGGAGAGAGGAGTAAAGATGATCAGGACATCTCACCTTTTATCAGTGTAGACAGAAAAATCTTACTGATTATGTGCTGGAAAAGTTAGATCTAAGAACAAATGGAGATGCTCTTACAGCTGGATAGAATTATACTATATGTACTGATCTCTTCCCGGCCCTCAACCTAAAGTCATGTTTTTCTTTAAGAAAAAAACCATGAATTCGCAGCATTTTTATGGAACAAGATTAGTTTTTCTGGAAAAAAATAATTAATCCTCTATATATCAGTATATTCCAAAGGACCTCTGAATGGTTTCGTGGTAAATAATATTTTACATAAGAAGTTCATATAATGCTTAATATTGGGCTGTTGCACATATGGTATATAAGAACTTTTACGGTAAAATATACTACCAGTATATACTGGTAGTATATAGAAGGGCATGTTAAGAATTTGATAGAAAATAAAACAACACTCTAGTAATTTTTGTTTCAGATTAAATCTAATTGGAGTACCCGGTCCTGGATCTTATCATGCGCTAAGAGAGGAGCATCGTGAGCGCTATTTGATGACGAATCACGTGACGATAACACGATTTGATGAAAGAATAACGAAGAAAAGACAAAATTACCCTTTCAAACTTTATACTGCAATCTAATTAATAAAAAATCAAATTAATCTACACTGTTAGATCATATATACTTGCAGTATATACTAGCAGTATATTGTACCGTAAAAGTCCTCATAGCATATAGGCTAGTCTATTATAACTCGTTAATCTAATATATTATGAAGGTAGCTTGAAAAACTAACCATGTTCGCTCTGAACAAGTACTATAAATTCTCACATTAATTATAAAAAAGAAAAAAGGTTTGGACCATTAAATTATATATGGTGGGTTCAGATTATGATGGTTTAGATCAATTGATATAGTTATATAAATGAGCATGTTCGGCTAACCATTACAGCCGCTACAGCTAAACACAACCCTAGCTGCTATAGATGCAGACACCGGGGGCGGATCTAGGAACAAAAAATTGAGAGGCTCAATTATACAGTTTCTTCAACCTCCAGCCATTTAGAGACCTTTAGTTTATTATTCATGGTGAAAAAATTGAAGGGGGTGCTCCGAGGGTATCCATAGGTCTTGTGGGTGTAGGGGGGACTCGAGGCCCCCCTGCACCCATATTGGATCCGCCCCTGGCAGACACAACACACTGTGTGTTGACTGCACAAGAGTGAAATTAAGTAGAACAGCGCCAATACAAATGTATATATGTATAGAAACATAATCTAGGATAATTGTGTCCAGTGCAAAATTGCATGTATCAAATTCAAAAAAAAAGAATATCTCGGTGTAAAAATAGATGGGAAAATTCCGCTAGTAATGTACTGTGGGATAATATTAACCAGAACAAAATGCCTCGAGAAGCTTTGACTGGGCTGTTCCAAGGAAAAAAAAATCTCAAACACGTGTTTTCTAGTACAGTTACATGAGAGCGACAAATACTAAATACTAGTATTCACTATCTTCGGAAGCCTCCATATCTCCTTTAGGTTCTAGGTCCTATGTCATACTCCCTCCGTTTCAAAATATTTGACACCGTTAACTTTTTAGCACATGTTTGACCATTCGTCTTATTCAAAAAAAAATTATGAAATATGTAAAACTATATGTGTACATGAAAGTATATTTAACGATAAATCAAATGATATGAAAAGAATAAATAATTACTTAAAATTTTTGAATAAGGCGAATGGTCAAACACGAATTAAAAAGTCAACGGTGTCAAACATTTTGAAACGGAGGGAGTACATAACTTAATACTAAAACCTTAATCGTCAATATTTTTCTCTACACGAGCGTCACATAAATATTACAAGAAGTCAAAATACTAAAACCTTAGTGGTTCATGATAAGCATGTTCGGTATGAAATTCCTGATTCCGTGAGATAATTATTTAGCGCCTAGCTAGTTTGCTTCTCTTTAGGTAGCGTCATCTTCCAAGAATATATCCTATACTCCTACTTGCTAGTAATATTTGGCCTAGACAAACTTGAAGAGTCAATTAGTTGCCATTTTTCTAAGTAAAGAAAAGTGAAAAGTATACTTTTAATCCTATTAACCTACTACTAAAACTTAAAATTTACTGAAAAACCAGCGGTAACAACAACTAGATGATACTTTTTTTTATTTTACTAGAAAAAATGCCCATGTGTTGCAACAGATGAAGGCTATTTTAGTCTTATTATTATTATTATTATTATTATTATTATTATTATTATTATTATTATTATTATTATTATTATTATTATTATTATACGGTTCAGTTAGAGTGAAAATTATTGTGGGAATTTGCTTGGATATTTCTTTTAGAAAACTATGAGCTACAATTAGGAGTCTATCTCTCATCTCAAGTTAGCATGCGAGTTTTTTTTTAAAGTATTTCTTATACGACTCCTTCTGTATTTCCAAAAGCATCCCAAGTTAGTGTGCGAGTTTTTTTTAAAGAGATTTCTTATATGACTCCTTTTGTATTTTCAAAAGTGATCAGACTTAAAAGCGGACTCAAACACGGATCTATATTTCCAAAAACGAACGAACTTAACAACCGACTCAAATACGAATGATCTACCAAAGTAACGGTAAAAATATCTTTAATTTTTATAATAGTAGAGAGATAACTGGTATATAAAAATCATATTTTTACTGACCCACGTATAAGTGACCTACGACATACCCCTCCGTTTCGAAAAAACAAATCTAAAAATAGATGGGATCCTACCCAGTATAACGAATCATTCCATTCTAGAAAGAACCAACCTAAAATTAGATGAGACAATATTTAAAACTACCAATTTGGACATGCGAATGCCGTAATCTATTACTACTACTACTACTACTGAGAGGATACTTCATCCAATCATCCGTAGGCTAGCAGCAGCAGCAGCTGAGTTTTTTCTTCCCCCTCGAATAGCAAGCAGATCAGCAGCAGATGAGTGGCTGGTTAGCTGGACAGGAGTCACAGGACACTCGAGAGGGATAGATACCCTTTTCTGCTGGGCCCCACGTTCGTTTGAACACGGGGCGCACGGTGGGCCCCCCACACCCCCCCCCCCCCCCCCCGCGCATCCGTCATGCCTCACGACAAACCGCGGACGACGCGCACGGGCCACCGGGTAGAAATACCCGCGCCCACCCGAAAAATTCCCCAGCTCACCTCCTCCTCACTACCACCACCACCACCACCACCTGCTTCCTCCGCGGCTGCGTGCGCCGCCTCCCCAACCCTTCGTCCTCCCCGCCGGCCGCCGCTGAGATCCGACGCGCCGGAGCGGAGCTCGCTGAGGTAATCGCCGTCCTTTCTTGTAGCAGCTGGTGGTAGTACTATAGTATGCTGTATGCTAGCTAGGCCGGGTTCTTCGTGTAGTGCGCATGCGAGGCTGGATCGGAGCGCGCGGGTGCGACATGCGAGGCTGCTCTGCTCTGTGGAAGTTCCTCGCATGGCTCAAATCCAGCACTTTGCTTTGCTTCTTTCGGTAGCTTGGCGATTCTTCTAGGCATATCGTTGTTCATCTACGCATTCGTGAGCGTGTTTAGCGACGCATGCAGCGGCTTAGTCCCCGTTGAATCGTGGTTTGGTTGAAGCCGTGAAGTTAATCACCGAGAGAGACGGACCGCGTCATAGCAGCGCACGAGTGGTAGCTGAGCAAGGTAGATCTTGAAGCTTTTGACCGCTGACTTGGAGTGAATTTTTTTAAGGTGGGTGTTCGTAATAATCTTGTGCCGGGACCCGGGGGTAGTTGCGCTAAACGGGTCAAAGTGTCAAACTTTGCCCTCTGTTTTGGTGTCGGAAAATTATGGGAGAGGGGGATACTTTACGACTTGATCTACAGCCCTCTGTTTTGTTGGCACACGGATTGGTCGAACCTTCTTGTACGATGGGTGTACGGTACCCATCCATTCATGACGTTGTTCTACGGTCAGCGTTACGGCATGCTGCTTGATTTTGTTCACTTGTCGGTAGGACTAGGATGCCAAAATAGTTGGTGGTATTGCACAACCTAATTTCTTAGTTGTTTCTTTTTTGTTTCGTCTTTTATTAGCGGAATTAACATGTTTTCACATCATAATGATGCTTGTTTAGAAGAGCTAAGGTTTCTGCTCGTCTTAGTTTTATTTGGCAGAAAAGAATGCATGTATGACATTTGATCCCAAGTTAAGTTGCCACAGTCCAACATGTACTTTGGCATGCCCGCTTTCTTCAGTTCTGATCAGATACTCAGTATTGTTGTAGGATAGATTCTATGTAGTTTTCTGGCGATCTTCTTTCGTTAGATACAGTAGATTATCTCAGGTATCTGAGATTTGAGATATTGTGGTTTTCTCAACATTAAATGTTTGAGAATTCATAGTGGGTGGTTTCTTCAATGAAACAACGTCAGAAAATCCATTTCAATTACCGATATTGCCTTGTTTGGTTCTGATACTACTTAAAATAATTGCTTCCAGTAGTTCAGTGCCAGATTTACTTGAGTTGGTAGCTCAGTTTGTTTATGTTCTGACTTCTGATATCTACTGGTTCATTGCAGATTTTGTTCCTGCTGGATTTCTGAAATTTTACTGGAGGACTAGAGATATCAAGACACCAACAACAAACTAGTACAAAGTTTTCCTTCCAGTTAATCTGTTCCTGGATCTCCTTGCCATACGCGAAGCAGTGGATACTATGCAGTAATTGGTTAGGAGGTCTTTACTGAACCATAATGGCTGATACTCCAACTTCCCGAATGATTCATCCCTTCAGCAATATACCGAGCCAAAACCTGAAGCAGTTCCAGTATTCTGATAATCCACAGCACCCTTGCCACCCTTATAGGGCACCTTCAGACACCCACGTTGTGCCACATCATTATGGCCTAAAGTCACATTCACCGGATGCTGGTTATGAAAGCCAGGCTACTCCTAACAAGTACACATTGGACTCCTCTGAAGGTGCTGGTTGTATGAGACATGATTCTCCTTCCAGTCAAAGTTTCACAACCAGAAGTGGTAGCCCTCTATCTCAGGAAGACAGCCACTCTGACTCGACTGATGGATCTCCTGTAGGCGCCTCCTGTGTCACTGAGGATCCTAATGATCTGAAGCAAAAACTGAAGGATCTCGAGGCCGTTATGCTTGGGCCAGACTCGGAAATAGTCAACAGCCTTGAGAATTCGGTGGCAAACCAACTTTCCTTGGAGCCGGAGAAGTGGGTGCGCATGATGGGCATTCCTAGAGGCAACTTGAAAGAGCTACTGATTGCCTGTGCTAGAGCTGTGGAAGAGAAGAATAGCTTTGCTATTGATATGATGATTCCAGAGCTGAGAAAAATAGTTTCGGTATCTGGTGAGCCACTTGAGAGGTTGGGAGCCTACATGGTAGAAGGGCTTGTTGCCAGGCTTGCCTCCTCTGGCATTTCAATCTACAAAGCTTTGAAATGCAAGGAACCAAAGAGCTCTGACCTTCTGTCTTACATGCACTTCCTGTATGAGGCCTGTCCCTACTTCAAGTTTGGGTATATGTCGGCAAATGGTGCTATTGCAGAGGCTGTCAAGGGAGAAGACAGGATTCATATCATCGACTTCCATATCTCTCAAGGGGCTCAGTGGATCTCTCTCCTTCAGGCCCTTGCAGCCAGGCCTGGTGGACCACCAACTGTAAGGATCACTGGTATTGATGACTCAGTGTCAGCTTACGCACGAGGCGGCGGGCTAGAGCTGGTCGGAAGGAGGCTGTCGCACATCGCCAGCCTGTGCAAGGTGCCCTTTGAATTCCACCCACTTGCTATCTCCGGCAGCAAGGTGGAGGCAGCACATCTCGGAGTCATCCCCGGGGAAGCCCTCGCCGTGAACTTCACCCTGGAGCTGCACCACATTCCAGACGAGTCGGTGAGCACGGCGAACCACCGTGACCGCCTCCTAAGGATGGTGAAGAGCCTGTCGCCGAAGGTACTCACCCTGGTGGAGATGGAGTCCAACACGAACACGGCGCCATTCCCGCAGAGGTTCGCGGAGACGCTGGACTACTACACCGCCATCTTCGAGTCCATCGACCTGACGCTGCCGAGGGACGACAGGGAGAGGATCAACATGGAGCAGCACTGCCTCGCGAGGGAGATCGTCAACCTCATCGCGTGCGAGGGGGAGGAGAGGGCGGAGCGGTACGAGCCCTTCGGCAAGTGGAAGGCGCGCCTCACCATGGCCGGGTTCAGGCCGTCGCCGCTCAGCTCGCTGGTGAACGCCACCATCAGGACGCTGCTGCAGAGCTACTCGGACAACTACAAGCTCGCCGAGAGGGATGGGGCGCTCTACCTCGGGTGGAAGAGCAGGCCCCTGGTGGTCTCGTCGGCGTGGCACTAGCGTTGTGACTTTGTGAGGTGATCTGACGACGAACTTCCCTTGTAACCATCTTGGCTGGGGGCTTTAGAAAGCTATAGTGATCATGGACTGGTAAGGGTAGCTGTAACAATGGTGTTGTAATGGTAAGGTAGCGGCTAGGGTCAAACTCGAAAATGGGCAAAATGCTGATGAGGTGTAGAAGTGTAGTACATGTTTGAGAGTATATGTTTCAGTTTTTCTTTTAAATGTCTTGTAGTAATGTTGTGGCACACTAATGTCTATGATCAGAATTATCATCCACTATAAGCTAAAATATCCATTGGAATGCTGGCAAGTAGAGCTGAAAATGTAGCATCATGTTTCAACCGGGACGAATCCAACGGTCCGAGCATTCGTACGTGTTACAGGTATCACATTTGCATATCTTTACTGCCAACGGCATTGTACATATGCAGTGAGATACAAAGCTTTGTCACAAAAGAGAATTAGACAAGCTCACAAAACCAAATCAACCATAATCCATGTTCTATCCACATTCCACTGAAGGCGAAGATAGTTAAAGAAAACCAAATTCTGATGATCTAATTAATCTTAACGGGTTCACTGTACAACGAATATAGGGCCAGTGCCACATACAAGTATACAACAAGGCCTTTGCCGCTCCAGAAGACCCATGTGGTGTATTTTGCTGCAGCCCACAGGTACAGCTCTCGCCTCCGGTTCAACTGATGTGTCAATGATAGGAGCATCTTTCTGAAGAGAATGTCAATACGAAGCATTGGTAATATATGATTCTCGAGCTATAAGCATTAGTATAGACTCTCACGGACCCATGACTAAATTGCCGGCGGTACTGTAGCATAAGTTAGCCGAATGGTCCATCGGTGTGGCTTTGAAAGTAAAACCTTCACTAGGTTTTTCTTCTCTCGAACCATATATATTGCTAGCTGCATTGCCAGCCATAGTCGGCATTGCCATTGCTGGAAGTCCCATATTACTGTATACTGAACCCATGGGCTGCATTTGATACTGCATCTGATCAGAAACTGAGGACTGCAATTGGTTTGTGGCATCGCTGTGGTTCGGGCTGATTCCAACACCAAGATCAAGGCTGATGGTGTCACTTTCAGCTGCTTGAGAATATTGGTTTGGAAATGTCCTAGGTTCACATGCTCTCATCATGCCACCAAGGCCCTGCATATTGCTGTTAATTGGATGGACAACAGGCTTCATGGGGGGAGTGGACATCTCATGGCTCGCATTCCTCGACGCAGGGACTTCATGGTTATGTTTTCCTTCATATGTTGTTATGACTGATTTTGGATCATGTGATGCTCTCTCAACATGCTTCCTGACTGGGCATCCTGTATTTGTGCACTTGTAGTAACTCCTGCAATCATGAAATAAAATGAATATACAAGTTGCATCCTGTATATATATGGGTTATGGACACATACACCTATTCAATAAGTGATGGAAAATATCTGATTATATTGAACCATTAGAGCCTTAAGAGAAGGCCTAATTTCCAATTAAGTGATGCCCGGCATCCCAGTCTTAGCATTAAGCCCCTACAGCCTTACTCCCCAGCAGTATCACCGGACAATCCGACACACATGTTTTACAAATATGTATAAGGCAAAAAAATCTTATCTTTCTGATTTAAAATAACATGACCAGAAGATTATTGAACATTTTGTTGTTACTGTTAAAAATCTGTTGACATGTCAGAGAAAAAAAGAGGAGAATTTACTAGGAGCAATAGATGAAGAAAATAACAACTAACCGTGGATTGGGGTTTCCTTTAACTACTTTCTGGCCATACTTGCGCCAGCGGTACCCATCATCCAAGATGTCAACCTCACTAACCGTTTGTACTACAACACGAGGCTCACGGTTAGGCTTGCCCATCAAAGCAGCATCAATAGCAGCAGATTCCATTTTCCTGTTTGAACAGTTGTAAACAACACATTCAGTAGTATAAATGGGTGATTCTCGCCCTAGTGTGTAACAAGTTCAAATGAACTGCACCTTCGTTTTGACTCTAAATCATCATCCTCAACAGCATCATCTCCAGGGTAAGGTCTCCCTCCTCCGGCATCATTGTCATCATCACTAGCTGAGCCTGGAACAGGCTCAATCATACCAGCTGTATGTACTGCATTACCAAGAATGCTAAGAACATTTGAAGATTTGTCTGCATATAAAAACATAACATTTAAAAATCGCATAAAAGAACACAACAAAAACATTCATCCATATCACACGACTTTTCCTTCGGTGTATGGACTGGCAAAAATATACCAGCAGTGATGTACTGGAGTGCAAATACAGCTCAGAAAACTCTTATCAAATTTTGTTTTGTATGTTACAAAAAAAAATGATTGGCAGGTTAAAATGGCCCGTGGAATTCAACTAAGTTGAGAAAAAAAACCACCCAAACGCAGTGCACAGCCAGGCTGCACTCAACCTCATGCAGGGGAGTTTTTTGGTGCAAAACCTGGGTTCGAGCTTAGGTCGGTGACTCGGCGTCCCCACTATTGGAGGCTCTACCACCACGCTATACGTTCATTCGCTGTTTTATATGTCAAATCATTCATTTTTTTAAGAATCTAAAGGAATATGAATCATAATTCTGCAAGAAATTCTTGAGAAGCAATAAGAAGTTCAGAGATGACATAAATAGCAAGAGAATTCACAAAAAAAAGGGGGGGAATCAGATCCAAGAAGCAGGAGGTCAAGCTGCCAAACCAGAGGGATCCAGCATCAGTTTTTAAAACAAAGGATAAAACCCTCACCATCAGTAGTTGCCACACCATCATATCTTTCTTCACCCTGGATTGGAGGAACTGCACCGGCAGACAGCCTCCTATTGGGTTGGGGCTTAGGGTGATTGTGACGCCCTTTATAAACCACTTCAGTAATCTGACCATCAAGCGAACGCTCCAATAGCTTTTTTACATCACAGTTAGGATGTGTGCACTTGTAATAGCTTCTCGGGTTCTCACTTCCCTTAACATGCTTTTGCCCATATTTGCGCCAGTTATAACCATCCTCTGCAGACTTTTCAGCCACACTTTCAGGCTGTGACTCCTGCATAGCATTTCCAGAGCTATTCATCTGATGCAACTCAGATGTACCAACTTCAGCAGGTGAGCTGTCAGTTAAACCAACCATTCCAACCAGTTGGCTCGGGGCACTTGAAATATTGACTGCGAGAGTTGACTCACGAGAACATAGAGGTATATTGTCGATCATCATATCGTCAGATGACAGGGCAGTATTCAGGCTTTCATTTTTCATAGAAGTTTCATGCTTTTTGGGATCATTGATAGCAGAAGCCTACAGTACAAGACACGAGTACAGCAAAAGGTTATACAATGCAAAACTAAGTACAAGAGAAAACAAGGTGTAGGGAAAAAAAGGTAACAAGGGCACAAGGCATAGATGGATCACACAAAATATGTAATGAAGTTTGTTTTCCAAAAAAGAATCCACCATTACAAGATACTTGTCTGTACTTGTGAGAACTAAAGAAGAATGTGGAATTCGGTTAACAACAAAATGCAGAAGGACCTGATTTCATGAACATATTTTTATGTTAACATTAATTATTCTAAAGCTACAGAACTCATTAGATTGGTCCATTCAATTACTTGTATTCTGACCTCAAATTTTCACATACTTCTATAAATTTGCAGCCAGACTAGCACCACTCAAGTCTCACCTAGCAAGGAAATATTGTGTCTGTTATACCCTATTCTCATGATCTCACCAAAGATCTCATTTCTCCTTTCACAATTAATAGCTTGTATTTATGTTGCAAGACCCTGCTATAATCAAATCACACAATAAAGTCGGTGTGATCATTTATTAGACTTGAAGATGTAACCAGATCCATCCCAATTTTGGCACTGAAATTTCAAGACACCGAACCATGGACTAGAAATAACACAGCCTACAATAATAATAAAACGAATTTATTGTACTCCTGGTGAGGTTTGCGATTCACGTGAGAATATTTTGAATTAAACATAGGAAAACTTAAATATCAAAAGCTGGAACCTCAGATAGATTTACCAAGTAAAATGCAATATAGATCCAATAAATAGCATACCGTAAGGTAACAACTTTAGATCATGGAAAGGAAGTTAGCATAAGCACATTAGAACTTTACACTCCTTTTATGTACATCCCCAATATAAATTCCACTGTTTTGGCGGGACCATTTGTAAACAACAAATGTTATTATTTTCTATGGAAATTTTTTCAAACTCTCAAATACAGTATACACAAATGAAGAATTACACGATACCAGGTAATCACTCAAAGAAAGGATCCATACCGTCGATTGAGAGGATGAATTCAGATGAGGCTTGAATTCAAAATCTCGAGAGCCACCATCTTCATGGGTGCTACCAGATGTTTTATCCCTAGGCGAAGGAAGTATGTCTGGATTTGCACTCTTGTTCATAATTGCAGCCATGCTCAGAGTACCAGTTGTCGGAGAGGGTTCAACCTAAACAGGGAAATTTTGATAATTAGTTTGCAAGCAAGGTAAGCATAATCTCTATAATTTTTTGAACATTCAACAATGCGCAACAGTATTACAGTGTACATGTTGAACAGTAACTTGCAGAAAGTATTTATGTCATGCTTAGTACAATACTTATGCCTCTAGTATGAAAAATTATCCAGAAACACTTGTCAACTAAATGTTACCTTCATAAATTCTTCATTTAATTAAAACCTGTTTGCCAAGCATCCCTATGTTTTGGAAAAGGAAACATCAAGAAGGTCGGCAAAGTAACGAAGGAACCAAGAGAAAGCAAGTGATATGAAGCTGCAAACAAGCACTCTATGCTCAGCAAGTAAATTCCAATTTGTGGGTTTTCACCGAGAAGAATCAGAACCGCCAATACAACACCTAAGGCCAGACCCAGCACTCGATATCAGTGAAGCAATCATTTCTAAACCAAGCCTATAAACTAACTCTCTTGCAGTGCTTGGTGCTTCCCTTACGAAACAGCAGCATTCCTTAGCATGCACACCACCAGCACAATAGCAGCCAAAGCCAAGGGGGCGTTTCCTTATGTAAGGCCCTTTGAGGCCGCAACAAGAAAAATGCCACATGATGATTTGTTCCCCCGAGCCACCAAGTGTGTGCAGCACAGAATAATTCCCCCGAAACGCACAAACAACAGCTCCCACCTCACTCCACAGAAAATTGACGGCGCAGGGGCGCCCCAAAAGGAGAAACAGAGCAAAAACAACTATATCCGCGCGAACCCCGCCAAAAGTCAGTTCCAGAAACCGCAAGGCACCACCAGAAATGCGAAAGCGCGCAGCAAAAGCGCATTATTCCGACGCCACGAGCCAATTCCGCGGTGCAAATGTCTCATAAACTAGAAGCATAAAGCTAATGCGCGCATCGGAATCCCTCCTTTCCCCCCCGACACAGATTAATCCCCCGGCACGATGCGGGCGCCGAAGAAATTCGTAGATCCCGCAGTAACTAGGCGCGAGGAGATGGGTGGGTGATAGCTACGCTACACGCGCGGCCGAGGTACACAGCTCACCTTGAAGTTGGTGAGGAGGACGGGGGACTCGAGGAGAGCCGAGGGGCTGAAGCCCGCGGGGATGGTGAGGCAGGGCTCCCGCGAGATCGGCAGCCGCGCGGGGGACATCGCCTTGTACCTCGCCCCCGCGCCCGCCGCGCCCGCGGCGAGCGCCGCGACGCGCCGATCCACCGGGGGCTGCTTCTCCGGCGACCCGCCGACGCCCGCGGGGTGGTCACCGGAGCTAGGGTTTGGCGAATCGGCCATTGCTGCGGTTGCGCTGCGCTGCGTGGGAAGCTGTCTCGTGAGAGTGAAGAGGAAGGAGGGTGAGGTGGTGGTGGTTTTGGAGGCGATGGTGCGGGGTGGGGAGGGGAGGGGCAGTTTGGGGAAAGTGGGGTCGTCCTGTAGCCAAGGTAGCGTGGGCTGGGAGGCTGCGGTTCGTGTTGACTTAATTAATTGCGGCCCCTGAAATTACTCTTCCACCCCTGCAATGTGAGCGTAATTACGGGGGTGGGAGGGGTAGTACGCGAGTTGGAACAAGGGGAAGCGAAGCAAGCGTGGTGTGATGTGAGCAACCGGGGCACGAAACCGGTGGTGGGATCCGGGGGCAGGGAGTGACGACAGCGACCCGGGCTGGCTGCGGTGCCTGGCGGTTTCGGGGCACCGAGTGGTTTGGCTTCATGCGTCACTGGAGTGTGGGCCCCCACGTGGTGGTGGTCCCAGCTGTCAGTGAGGTGTTTGCGTTGTTTGTGTAGGGGGTGGTGGGTGTGGCTGGGAAATATGGTGAAACAAGATAAATGTGGTGGGTTTTTAATTCGGCGTGGGATGCCTGTCAGAGTACCCCATGATCTCCTTGAAATTGAATGAGAACCTGAGGAGTGGTGAATCTAAATTGAATGCAAGAGGCCATATTGCGAATGTTTTTTACTTTCTACATGCGGTTAAATTTGTTTCGTCATATAGAAGGGAAATATTTGAATGCTGGTGCCTAATACTCCCTGTCATAGATATTTTGTCATTTATGATAAGATTTTATTCATATTTTAAAATTACGACCATAGTTTAGTGTAAGAATAAAAGAAATAGTATATATGGCTTCCATTTTTTAGAGGGGCGTGATTTATATCTATAGTGGGATATGTGTATGTGCCTTCCATGCAATTGAACAATTTTAGACGTCTCTCATTTGTAAAGATGTCGTGTCATTTGAAGAGATTTAGGTCCTGTTTGATTCAGTTTATGATTATTATAATCTGGATTGTTAGAAGTAAATTGAAACAAACAAATAGCTTATTATGATAGATTATTATAATCTATAAGCACGATTTCTATAATCTGATAATCCACTCTAAAGGTGCTTTTTTAGATTATTGGGTGGCTAACAACTAACAAACAACTAATAATTCAGAGAAACAAACAGTTAACAACTTATTCTATATCGGTTTATTATAATCTAGCTTATAGTAATCTAGCTCAATAATATAGATTACAATAATTTTAAGCGGAAACAGACATGGCCTTATTTGGCAGCAATGTAAATTAAATCTGACTATGTCCATTTTCAGTGGGAGTTTCATCTTGTGGTTTCCTATAGTGCTACATAATCTAAAAATATGAAACAAATGTCTCAAATGCATAATTTCATTTTCGTGATTTTATATTCATATAATTTAATTATTGAATGGTGTTATGAAACTATTTGGTCACAGTGGGGTTTCATTTCCATCTTTTAAGGCATAGGATAAAATAATTCAGTCCCAATTGGGTTTTATTCGGTCTTCAAGCATAGGTAACTGTATAAACCAAGTTTTGTTTATATGTTCATTCTTTATCTCTTTTAATAAAATTCATGGCATGTCATCAGTTTAGTCTATATGGCATCTCATTTACCGAGATTAAAACTCAAATGAAACTTGCACAGTGAATGAGCTAAGAACACGCCTGAGAGAGAGAGAGAGAGAGAGAGAGAGAGAGAGAATGATCTGGCAGGGAAAAATCGAAGAAAAACTTCGAGGAATCTACAAAAGTCTTGGGCCATCAGCCACTTATCGTATTGGACCATACAACCTCAAGGTTCACTCGTGTACTTGCATTGGGCCATACCCGTTGTTGCCTAACAGCACATGGCCCACATCCCTCCCGACCGTGCCCAGCCCATTCAATTGTTCCGTAGGAATTGATCTGCAGGCTGGTCTACAAGCAGACGAGCCGTTGGAAGATGGTACAGAGCTGACGGGTTCCTATTTTCTACTAACATGTTGTTTCGGAGGCGAGAAATACTGTAGTACCTCCTCCATTTATTTCCGTATGTGATCAGTGATCGGTTGGTTAAGCAGACAAATAGGCTACTTACATTATGTGTGTTAATATGCATATGTAACAGTGTAGCAAGTCTTCTTTTAAGCATTTTTATTAAGTACTTCCTCTGTCGTATATTAAGATTATTTTTAGCTCATCCCATTTATCTCAAAATAAATTGATTTTTAGTAATAATTATATCAAAGTTTATAATAGTAAAGAATAATTGCATTGGAAGTAGATAAAGTGATAAATAGTTATATTAAGATGAGATAAAGTAATGATATTTTAGTCTTTTGATGTTTGTATTGGTATGTGTAGGATGAGTGAACAATGAACTTATTTTGGAACATCTGTATTACTAATATGTATTTGTACTAATTTTTTTACCAGGTATGCATATGTAAAAATTACTCCCTTTATTTTAAAATGTATTGAGATACATATAGATATAATTATCTTCTCAAACAATCTTTTCAATATTATACTTTAACTACTACTGTTTTCTTTTGTTTATTATCAATACCTACAGAATCGATGCCATATAAAAATAGCTAAATAAAAATCTAACAATACTACTTTATTATATAATGATATAAAAATCAAATAAAAAGTCATAACATTAATCACATATCCAATCCTGTACTTTTAATCCATTCATTAGACAAGTTTTTATGTTTTGATTTTTCTCAAAATAAAAATGCCTTATATATTTTAGAATAGATGGAGAAACAAGTTAGTATTCCTTTATCATACAATAATACTCTATTGTCATAATATATGACGTTTGTTTTTTCTTGAGCAAACTTTCAAAATTTTTCCCATCAAGAAGATCTCAACGGCAGGGCACCGTTGGCCTGACCTATATATACACATCTTTTAAACGGGTCTTAAGAGCCACGCAACACGTGGCTTATGTGGCTAGTTTAAAATAAAGCTACCTATACCGCTTATGTTTTGTTTCACAAGTAAAGATATTTATCCATCCACTCTCTCATCTCAACCTATTATAACTATTCTTATTTTAATCTCCATTTATTTTTTTTCACATACTTTTTCTTTTTAATCAACCGTAACTAATACATGTATCTAACTTTAAAAAGATAATTGTTACGAGTACAATAAAACTGGAACGATTTTAGTACTATACTAAATAGTATGGTTATCGATTGGGTGGAAACATCTTGGATCGCATATTTACCGCATGCATTTGAGACTACTAAGTATCGTCCTCTAATAGTTTATAGCATGCTTTTTTTTAAAAGAAAATGTTTATGTTTTAGGATGGATGAAATACTATTTGAAAACACGGGAGGAATAAAATCAAGTCTTGTACCGAATCTTTTGTGCACTAATTAACCATGCCACAGAAAATTTGACGAGTTATTACACCCAGAAACGATGTAGATCCGCCTGCAAGTTGTTGCTTGGTCATTAGATACAGTCCAACGAATTGTGCAGTGTGTACTGGTGCGGAGGCTATTTAAACCGAGCCCCCATGTGTTCAAGTACTTGTTGGCTTTGTTGCCTCCTCCATGAATGGTGAAACTCTCTTGTCACGAGACATTTTGCTCCAAAAAGTCCTAGTTTATGAGTATCGGGTTGAGAAAATCCACCTCGATCATCCAAGCTTGCGAAAGCGGAATTCTTTTTGGTTGCTCAAACCTACAAGTCCATGCTTTTTTTAATGTTATTCACCGAATTATTTGCTCAATGGTTTTATTTAGAAAATACAGCTTCTAAAAAATTCCATTATATTACATTTCCTATACAACTTGGTTCATTTCTTAAAATATTTAATCTACCCATATAACCAGTAGATAATCCGTAACAATAAATGTTCAATAATCTAAATCAAATAGGCATTAGATTATTCACTGTATTAATTGCTCCATAGTTCAAAAATTGCATTTTTCTAAAAAAAATTGTATTATTCAAACTGCTTATTTTAAGCTATTTTATAAAGTTGATTTACCAAAACATCTACACATTTAAGTTATGTTTATAATTAAGTTGATAATCCACGGTCAACGAGATGAGATTGAAAAAAAAAAAAAGGCCGACGCTAGCGCTCACGATTTGTCCAAATTGTCGTTTGGAAATTGTTACTCCCCTTGTTGCTTGGCCATACATATCGTCTTCCGTAGCAACCAATGGCCAAGGGGCTGATGACTTGATGGGTCTGTGTGTTTGGCTGTTGTTCTTCCGGGTGTGTCTAATGTGTTCTTTTTAGTTAAGGACTAATTTGATCGTGCCATTATAAATTGATTATTTATTTTCAAAATACCATTATAATTTGTAATTTTAATCGTGTCATTGGAACACTTTCAAAAATGAATTATAACACGTAGTACGTGTGGTACGCATGTTGAAGCGTTTTTTAACTTCCGCATATTCGAAGTACCAAAACACTCTACCTCACTTCCTTATACTCCCTATGTTCCAAAATATAAGGCACAACCAACCTTAACCCAAAGACTAAGAAACAATTATTATCATCTACTAGTTTGAATCATCATAATAAATATAATGCATGCATCCAATAGAATTAGAGATCTTGAGGGTGGAGGATTTAAAAAAGTAATAATTTAATAGAGAAGAGGTTCTAATTAATTGTATGCATGCATAT